AGACACTTGTGCCCTGAAAGTCTCTGAGTTTAGTAGGAGAGGCTTTAATCAAAATTGGCTGAAAATGAAACAGGACATGATTGAATTACCTTGTCAACTAAAGGGAAAAGATTAGACTTGTAAGAGTCATCAAGATGCTGAGACATTTTAGAGTCTAGAGAAAACAGAACTTGCCTTTTAACCTCTCCAGCTTCCAACACTTTGCAATGAGGAAATGTCTCCCACGACTGTACTCGATTTCCTATAATTATAGGAAATAATTTGAAGGCAGTGGGAATCTCATCTTCCTGACCCAAACTGGCTACATAGAAATACCTCACCTCTTAATACTATAGTAGACATTGTTATCCGAAGAGGCTTTCCGCAAAGGTGTTCCTTGTTTCTCCCATACTATTACTAAAGTGAAATTAAAATCTCTTTACTGGTTGAAAAAGAAAAAAACTTCAATTTTCTCATGAATTAAAATGTCAACCTATCTATTGTTAAAATAGATAGTATTTAATTTTGGATTTGGGGCCTAGATTTCATTTTTTTCCCCAGCCTTATTCTGATATAATTTTTTAAAATTTTATTTATTCATTTGACAGAGAAACAGTGAGATGGGGAACACAAGCAGGGAGAGTGGGAGAGGGAGAAGCAGGCTCCCCACCGAGCAGGGAGCCCAATGTGGGCCTGGACCCCAGGAGCCTGGGATCATGACCTGAGCCAAAGGCAGACATTTAACAACTGAGCCCCCTCAGCAGCCCCTATTCTGATATAATTGACATATAACATTGTATAAGCTTAGGGTAGACATGTGATGCTTTGCTATACATATATATTGAGGAATGATTACCACAATAAGGGATTTCTTTTCTACAAAGATGCACTAATGAAAGTACTGATAAAGAGAGGACACAATTGCAGAAATTACTATGACATCATGAACGTAAACGTGAAGATTTTGTAATTTCAGAGCTTTCATAATTGGCCCTCTTACCGTGCTAAAAGAGTCATCTCATTTCCTTTAAAATCAGTTAACTCCTTTCCAGGGGTCCTGTCACCAATCACAATGGGGAAGTCTGATCGGGAGTGTTTGGAAAGGCTTATGTAAAGAGGGATAAGGCAGAGCAGAAATTACTATGCTCACTATTGATCCAAAAAATTCCCATCTTATCATTTATATTAAACTTACTATAAAGTTAGATTTATTATGTACTTTAAGGAAAGCATATATATACACCCCGATTTCGGCAAGCGAAGGTCCGAGTTAGGGTAATAGATGTGGTTTCTCCCGCCAGAAAGAACCGCTCAGACTTCGCAGCGCTGTCCAGGTGAGTCTGGCGGTGAACTGAGCACACACTGCCCTCTGGTGGCGAGAACTTGCCCAGCCTCCAGGGCAGCCTTCAGCAGTCCGCCGCAGTGATAGGCGCACTCCTGCATCGTGTACACTATTCCTGGCTCTTTTTTTTTTTTTTTTTTTTAAATTTTATTCATTTATTTGACTCCGGGAGAGAGAGATCACAAGTAGGCAGAGAGGCAGGCAGAAAGAGAGGAGGAAGCAGGCTCCCTGCTGAGCAAAGAGCCCGATATGGGGCTTGATCCCAGGACCCTGGGATCATGACCTGAGCCAAAGGCAGAGGCTTTAACTCACTGAGCCACCCAGGTGCCCCCTATTCCTGGCTCTTATGTGAGCTTGCAGAATGGACTTCGGAAGCCCTTTTTTTTTACAGTGAAATGTAAATTTAAGAATCTGGCAAAAAAAAATAAAAAAAAATAAAAAAATAAAAAAGGGAAAGCACCAGGGTATCTCAGTTAGTTGGTGTCTGCTTCAGCTCAGGTCATGATCTCTGCTCAGTGGGGAGCCTGTTTCTCCTCTGCCTGCTTTTCCCTCTGCCTGTGCTCTCTGACCAATAAATAAAATCTTAAAACAACAACAACAACAAAGTAAGTGAGTAGATTATTATATACGTCTGCTCACATCTAGGAGACAATGAGCTCACATTAAAAAAAATTATACCCGGGAAGTGGTAAGAATATTCTTTGTCCATTAGTAGCTCCCTTGGTTCCTGAAGACCATGGAACCAGTATCAGCCTTGGTTCACACACTTCTGCACAGTCTCACTTAGACCACTGTTCTTTGGGTTCTGTCACACGCCATCAAACTTAACCCTGATATACTATGGGTAAACTTCATGAATGTTTACTGCCCTGCAGCGTAGGTATTTATTATTATTCTTGTTTTTTACAGTTGAAGAAAGAGGCTCAAAGGGGCAAGGAATCAGCTTGGGAAAGAGTCAAGTGTCATCATACCAAGACTGGAGAGAGAATGGCCAGATTACAGGGGATCCCAAATGTCCTCTGAGTGGTGATGGGATAGAATCAGTGTTCAAGAGAGGTTTTTCTCATAGTTCTATGGGGGATGAAGTTGTGACCAACTAAGAAATCATTTTGTTAGTCTAATGACAAGACAAGAGTGTAAAGAGAAAGATGGGGAATAGGTGAGAACCTAGCCAGGTAAAAGTGAGACTTTGTGATCTTTCAAATGTGATGTGGTAGTCAAGATAAATAATTTTTTTAAAAAGATTTTATTTATTTATTTGACAGACAGAGATCACAAATAGGCAGAGAGGCAGGCAGAGAGGGCGGGGGGAAGCAGGCCCCCCACCGAGCAGAGAGCCCGATGCGGGGCTCCATCCCAGGTCCCTGGGATCATGACCTGAGCCGAAGGCAGAGGCTTTAACCCACTGAGCCACCCAGGCGCCCCAAGATAAATCATTCTTTTGAATGTTATGATTATGTCTAAGAAGACTTAGTGCTTAGTTTTGCACTTTCAAAAATCTGTCAGTTAACAATAAATGTTAACAGTAAACATTTGCAGAATGGAGTGCCATATGTTAGTGAAGCACTAACTGTAACTTGTTTCCTTTGGAATTCTCTATGCCTGGGGGTGAATCTTCTGTTTTTTTTTTTTGTTTTGTTTTGTTTTTGAATCTTAACTTCTTACTAAAGTTCTCATGTAGCAACTTTGACAGCTGGCCGTCTCTTAACATTCTTTTTTTTTTTTTTTTTTTTTAAGATTTTATTTATTCATGAGAGAGAGAGCACAAGCAGGAGGAGGGGAGAGGGAGAGGAAGAAGCAGGCTCCCTGAAGAGCAGGGAGCTCAGCACAGGGGCCCTGTTCCAGGACCCTGGGAGGATCCTGACCTGAGGTGAAGGCAGACACTTAACCAACCAACCCAGGTGCTCCTCTCTTAACCATTCTTATCCTTGTTGTCTCTGACTTTTTTCTGCCTCACCTTGATAAGACACATATATATGCGAACGTATTCAAGTTGTGTAACCTAACCCATGCTTGGCACTTGAAGTCTGAATATTTAGCCAAGAAATCGGTTAGCTACCTTATTAAGGCAGGTGGCTGCAGACACAGCATTTTGACCGGGTGATACAGGATTATGCTTAGACCCAAGCAGAACAAGATCTAATGTTCTCTGTAATCAGACGGCAACTACTAATAGCCATGCTTGACTTATGGATGGATGATGATAAGAAATTTGAGGACAAGGACAGAAAATTGCAATTTTGAGGGTCTTTGAGAGACGATTTCTAGTAAGAAGACGGTGTTGATTCTTGGTTCTGTAATTTATGTGTTGTGTGACTTAGGGCAAGACACTTCAGCAACGTGCTTGTTTATAAAATGGGTATAAAACATTTAGTGTAAAATTGACTGTTACATTGTAGGGGCTCATAAATGTTTAAGTCTGAATTTTTTATTCCAACTAATTGGCTATTAAATTGGACCAAAATGGATTACATACATAATAGCAACCAAAAACATAAGAGTTAGGAAGAATTTCAGCAAGCTAAAAACTGTTTTGAATAAATTGAGACAGCCTATGTTCCTAGATGAGATTAAATATGGTTAATGTCAATTCTTACACATTAACTTACAGTGTGAGTAAAAGTTTAGTAAAAACAGTTAAGGGAATACTTTTTGGATATGTAAAAGTACTTAAGAAGAACAAAGGGAGGATATATAAAACAGGATTCCAAAGAAGGAGAGTAGGAGATTGGTAAGAAATAGCTCTAAAAATACTAAAACAAAATATTATAATAGTTAAATGAGTAACTTCAATAGTATAGCACAGGAATTAGATAATTAAAAAATGTAATCACTATAAGTCATATTCAATTCATGAGTTTGGAATGTAATAGTTTGGAAAAAACCTAAGTAATGTCTCACCTCATTGTTGGATACTGTTATAAAAAACAATTATTAAATCAGAAAAAATTTTATTAAATTATTGAATGGGGTTGATTAAATTTTGAAGAGATAGAAGAGTACAAAGATAAACATGAAGGGATTTGATTGAAGAAAAATTAAAAGCTTTTGTAAGTTAAAAAAAAAGCCTCTGACCAAAATAACAAGGCAAATATTAGGGGAAAAACGGTAGCCAAAAGGATATAGTATCAGTATTAATAATTCAAGGCCTGTAGAAATGGAAAAAACAAACAACTTGCTTGACTTTATTATTTTGGCACATTGAGGATCTATATAAATAAGTTTGTCAAGTTTAACAAATAAAAACTCATAAAAACTGATAAAAGTTTAGATTTTTAGGTATTCTTATCTGAAGATAGAGATAATTATCTGCAGTAAAAATGAACCAACAGTAATTAAAGGCAAAGATAAAATGGATTAACTTTGGTCATTTGAGTTGATAAAAGGCAAATGAAAAATTTATGGAGGAGTACAAGGTTTCAAGAAATACAAGCGGAATGTATACTTGCTAACAGACCTAATAATATAGCAAAAGTTTATTTTGTTTCTAATTTCAATATTGCTATTAAATAAATTACCAAACAGCCTAAAATTCTTCCTTTTCTTTTTGCCCTCCCACATCCTGCAAAAAAAAAAAAATAAGTACCCCAAATAAGCAAGCCCTAAATAAATGGTAGTGGTCAACAGATTAATTAATTGTTAAATAATGGAATGAAATAAAATATGGTCCTTTAGAAAAGATTTTTATTTTCTTGGCACACAGACATAAAAATGACATTTTTAAACTAGATATAGCAGTTGAAGATATATTGGAAATGAATTACAATTCACTAGGTTATAATGTCCACAGATATGATGACAGGTCTCATGTTTCCTCAACTATCTTTGAAACTTATTAAATTATCACAGCATATTGGTTATACTGGTAAACTTACTTCTCATGTTAAAGAGTAAGGTTGATCTGGATTAGTGAAAAACCAAGGCACAGAACCATCACCAAAATGTAATATAATGGTACCTCATCCAACATCACTCAGGAATGAAGCATTTTATTTAGGTGTTTTTCAAATGACATTTATCCCTCTAAAGTCTAAAACTGTTATTTTAACTACTTTTGATGAAATAATATCTAACATGCTTTCTTAAACTTTAAAACAGACCATGCAGATAATCACAATGTTCTTTCCCTAATAGTCCTTATTGGAGTATCAACCACTTAATTTTCTAGTACAACATGATACCCTTAAAAATTACTGAGGTGGGTAATTGCCCTTCAACCCAATATGGCTATGTTTTAGAAATTGTCAACTTTTTATCTATCTGTCTATCTGTTTATCTATCTATCCATCCATCCATCCCATTTAACTATCAGCTATTATTTAATTTCATTAAATACATTGGTTTTCAGTTATTTTTCTTACCACATTTAATATAAGAGGTTAAGGTAGAGCAACATAACTGCAAAAAATCTTTGATGACTAATGGTTCACTCCCTCAAGGTAGGTCATTCCTTGTAACTGCAAAGGTTAGAAAATTTATACATTGAGCAATGAAGAAGGAAGGGACATTTGGATACCGATGCGTTTATAGATAGTGACCAGACGACTAAATTTGTAGGATTTAATCTGCTTTAGGTTGGGAAACCAAAAAAGTAAGCTGTTAAAACTATCTCTAAAGTAGGGTCAGCTTTGAAGAAGGGTGTGCAGGACACATTAAGTTGTAAGAGCTTTTGAATGTGGGAATCTGACATCTTAAAGTATTCATATATTTTTGCTACCTAGAAGTTTAAGTTACTTGCTTTTCTTATTTTTATTTCTTAGTCATACTGAAGATGGTTGGGTATGTGACCTTTAACCAAGAAAAGTGTTACAGTACCATTATTTTATTAACTATAAATATACAACTGAATAATATTAAATAGTAATGAAATAATTTTTGCAACTATTTTCTTTCAACTAAAAGTACAGTGGTCTTATTTAAGTGTTTTCTTGAGACAAGAACAGTAAGATGATAAAAATTCCATCTGGAGAATAAAGTATTATTCAAAAATATCAACTCATATAAATGTTAAAAACCTATTTCCTTTTATGACTTCAGAATTATCGTCATGAAAAACTTTTTAAATGATTCTACTGATTTCAAGATAACTACTAAATTCATATATTTTTACTATATTAAGATTGTTCTCAATGCTAAGCTTATGTAGCTTTCAGTTAATAGGAAACTAGCATCCACTCTGACCCATCAATACATTTTTACACATAAACCAAAAATAAGTTTTAGAAAAATTAATTTAGCATGTTTTTCTTCAAAGTTCTCATAAATATGACCAACAAATGCATTTTGAGAATGTAAACCATCTCATAGTAGGAAACAGGAACTCAAGATTAATTTTATAAAACTTTTTAGAAAATAAATTCTTAAATGCTTGTTTTTTTCCATACATCCTATGTATGCATCATTAACATAAAATTATGGCATTCATTATATTAAAAACATATTAATATATTAGTGAAATAAAAGCACACAGTGAACATCTGTGCTCCATTTCTGAACATAACATTGTAGATAGATACTCCCGTGATTCAATATTTGGTTACTATTTATCAAATGCAGTGTGGAAGGTGCTAGGAATAATACAGTAAAAGGTGAGAGAACATTAGTTAACTATAGCATATTCTGCATGTATTATTACTAAAGAAATATAATACCACAATTTGAAGATACTTTTCCATTTCTTTCATTATTACATTCTCATATTTCATTTTTACTTATGTACAGTAGGTTACATGATTTTTCTTTTTTCAAACTCAGGATCAAACTCTTTATTCCTAGGCATTTCAAGAATTCTTTCTGAATTCAAAAGAAAAACATCCTTTTGGTTATGATAGTTTTTGTTTCTGATTCAAATCAAAAGCTACCACTGTACAGTAATAAAAAAGAACAAAAGAAAGACCAATGCTTTTGAAGTCTTACCTAACTGGGTATCAATATCCTGTGAATAAGATTTTTTTTAAATGATTCAAGCCTGTGCATATAAAACATTTACATTATATTTTGACCTTGCACTCCATAACTTAAGTGACTGCATACTTAATACATATCCATCAATCAACTATAAGTCATAAAGTGTTTCAAGAACAGTAGCAATTGACCAGGCTTGTGTTTCACAGCTGAACGGACAGTACTGGCCATTCTCATTGGTCAGTTCAGGAAGTCCTTTCCAAGGGGATCTTAAAAAAAGAAAAGAACATTTCATGAGATATAACACATAAATTGTTTGTAGTAATGAAATAGGCAATACACTTGGTGCTTTTTTTTTCTAGTATAGTGAAACAATCATATGTAGTCATTTGCTACAAAATAAAACAGATATCCTTATGATCTATGTATAAACAATTTAGATTGAAATTATTCTTTCAGGGGTGCCTGGGTGGTTCAGTCATCTAAGCGTCTGCTTTTGGCTCAGGTCAAGATCCCAGGACTAACTCCCATATCAGGCTCCCTGCTCAGCAGGAAGTCTGCTTCTCCCTCTCCCTCTGCCTGTCGCTCCCCCTGCTTGTGATCTCTCTTTGGCTATCTCTCTCTCTGTGTCAGATAAATAAATTAAATTTAAAAAAAAAGATTTTTTTTTTTTTTTTTTTAAGTAATCTCAACCCCTTGGGCTTGGACTCAACCCCAAGACTAAGAGTCACATACTCTATGGACTGAGCCAGCCAACTGTCCCTGGATCTGGGCTTTTAAATAATATTCTTCATAAATACAACAAACAAACCAACCAACAAACAAAAAAGTAAACAAACCAGGGATAGAGAATTGCCCAACTAGACTGGGGCAGGGAAAGTAAAAGATGAGCTTAAAACATTTTATTGGGCCAGAAAGCAAAGGTCTTCCACTTCTGACAAACATCAAATAGCACAGACAGTATTTCCCTCCTGCCTGAAACAATCAAAATACTGGACAAGGAATATGAAGCAATAATCTTCAAGATACTGGATATTAGGCAACAAAGAACAGTGATCCCTAAGAAATGAGAAAAAAAATGAAGGAAGCCCTATGACTACCATACCTTACAGCCTGGAGGGAGTTTCCAGGACTTGGCACAGGGAAGGGAACACAGGTAGAGCCTGGCAGACTCCTTGAGAGTCCAGGAAAAACACTAGAATTTTCAGGACAGAGTACAAAAAAGGATAGAACTCTGGAGATATGCAGAGGGTCCCACTCAAGTATTCACCTACCAGTCAGTCAACACACACGAGGAAACTAATGAAAGACGGGGAAGGAAACGAACAAAAGATGGGGAAAGAACCTCCTGAAAGAATTAAAGTAGGACCTGACATTTACACAGGGTCAGCAACAGTGCTTATTTCCACCAGCCAGGTTTGAAAACTTAATAATTTTAGGGATATGGGATAGAGAACCTAGATGGGCCATGACTCATTAGTGGAGAATAATTAGCCCTCGACTAAATGCTGCTCTAGCCAGGCCTAACAAAGCTTAAAATCAGGGGCGCCTAGGTGGTTCAGTCAGTCATGCGTCTGCCCTCGGCTCAGGTCATGATCCCAGATTCCTGGGATAAGGCCCTGCATGGGGCTCTCTACTAAGCAGAGAGCTGCTTCCTCCTCTCCCTTTGCCACTGCCCCTGCTTGTGTGCTCTTTCTCTCCCTCTGTTGAATAAATGAAATTTAAAAAACTTTTTTTAAAAAAAGCTTAGAGGGGCGCCTGGGTGGCTCAGTGGGTTAAGCCGCTGCCTTCGGCTCAGGTCATGATCTCAGGGTCCTGGGATCGAGTCCCGCATCGGGCTCTCTGCTCGGCAGGGAGCCTGCTTCCCTCTCTCTCTCTCTCTCTCTGCCTGCCTCTCTGTCTACTTGTGATCTCTCTCTGTCAAATAAATAAATAAAATCTTAAAAAAAAAAAAAAAAAAAAGCTTAGAATCAAAACCTGAAAGGATCAAACGGCTTCCAAATAATTTAACTGCATTCCAAAACAAAGTTAAGATTATTTATAGAAATACCAAAAAATCTAATACCAAGCAAGGTAAAATTCATAGCTGGAATCCAATAAAACATCAGCAGGTGATAAGTAGGATAATACAACCCATAAGAAGAGAATAATCATAAGTGAAACTAACCCAGATATCAATTAGCAGCCAAAACATTAAAATAGTTATTGGAACTGTATTCTATATGTTAAAAATATTCAGCAGAGACATGGAAGATATAAAAAAGACTGAAATCAAACTTCAAAAGATAAAACTACAATGTATAAAATAAAAAATATACTTAATGGAAATAGTGGCAGATTAGATAGAAGGATGATAGCAGATTACCAGTCAAAATAATGCAAGACTTCAATGCACTGAAAGAAAAAAACTTGTCAACCTTTAATTCTAAGTACAACAAAAATATCTTTCAAAAATAAAGGCAAAGGGTGCCAGGGTGGTTCAGTGGGTTAAAGCCTCTGCCTTTGGCTTGGGTCATGATGTCAGGGTCCTGGGATCGAGCCCCACAACAGGCTCTCTGCTCGGCAGGGAGACTGCTTCCTCCTCTCTCTCTTTCTTTCTGCCTGCCTCTCTGTCTACTTGTGATCTCTATCTGTCGAATAAATAAATAAATAAATAATCTTTTTAAAAAAAGGCAAAATAAAGACTTTCCTGGCAATATAAGAGCTTAAAGAATTTATCATGAGCAGGCTTGCACTATAAGACATGAGAGAGGAATTCCTTAGGCAAAAGAAAATTATACCAGACGGAAACAGAGATATTCACAAACAGGTGAACACTGGAAACAGCAACTATATGAGTAGTTGTATAAGACCTTTTTCTGTATTATTTACATATCTTTAAAAAATAACTGATGGCATAAACAAAAAGTAGTAACATACTGTGGGGGAACTATAACATATGCAAAGCAAAATAGATTATAATAATAGCACAAAAGCCTGAAAGGAAGAAATGGAACTATACTATTTTAAGATTCTTATACTATATCTGAAGATAAACCATGATAAGTTAAAGATGTATATATAAACCTAAAGCAACCATTTTAAAAAGTAACAAATTAGCCAACAAAGGAGATAAAATGGAATAAATATATACTGAATAATAAGTATCCAGTACAAAAGAAGCAGAAAAGAGGAAAAAGCTAACAAAAACTAAAATAAACAGAAAAAAATAGATTTATACTTAACCATATAAATAATCACATTAAGTGTAAAGGGTCTAAACTTTCCAACTAAAAGTCAGAGATTATCAAGCTGCATTAAAAAAAGCAAGACTGCCATTATATGCTATTATGTACAAGAAACCTACCTTAAACATAAAGACACAAATAGGTCAAAAGTAAAGAATGAAAAAATATATACCATGGTAACAATCAAAAGAAATCTGAAGTGCTTATATTAATATAAAACAAAGTAAATTCTGAAGCAAAGATAGATTGCCTGTGATAAAAATGGTCATTTCAGGGCTCCTGGGTGGCTCAGTGGGTTAAGCCGCTGCCTTCGGCTCAGGTCATGATCTCAGAGTCCTGGGATCGAGCCCCGCATCGGGCTCCTTGCTCAGTGGGGAGCCTGCTTCTCTCTCTGCCTCTGCCTGCCTCTCTGCCTGCTTGTGCTCTCTCTCTCTCTCTCTCTCTGTCAAATAAATAAATAAATAAAATCTTTAAAAAAAAAAGGTCATTTCATAATAAGAGGGTCAATTCACGAAACGAACAAAATAATCCTAAACACTTATGCATCTAATAATAAGTTTTCAAAATACATGAAGCAAAATATGATACAGCTGCAAGGAGAAATAGACATCTGTAATTATAGTAGGAGATGTCAATACTATTCTCTAGGTAATTCATAGAACAAGTAGATGGAAATTCGTAAGTACATTGTACAACACTATCAAACAACTTGACCTAGTTGACATTTATAGAACATTCCACCCAAGGACACCAGAATACACATTCTCCCCCCACCCCGCCCACTGGAAAATGGATTAGTAACCTAGACAGAACATATTCTGAGCCTTAGAACAAGTATCAGTAAGTTTAGAAGGATTAGCATCATATAAAGTATATATTCTGACTACAATGGAATTAACTTTGAAACCAGTAACAGAAACACCTCTGGAAAATTCCTCAATATTTGAAAGCTAAATAACACCATTCTAAATAACCCATGGGTCAAAGAAGAATCAAAGGGTAAAGTAGAAAGTATTTTCAACTGAATGAAAATAAAAACACAACAAACCAGAATTTGTGGGATACTGTTGATTTAGTATTTAATGGGAAGTTTATAGCATTAAGTCCTTTATTAGATAAGAAGAAAGGTCTTTAAGTCAATGACCTCAACTTTTACCTTACATTAGAGAAAGACAAAAAATTAAACCTAAAGTAAGCAGAAGAAGAGAATAATAAAGACCAGGGTAGAAATCAATAAAACAAAACACAGAAACAATTGAAAAAAATCAATAAAGCCAAAAATTGGTTCTTTAAGAAGAGCAATAGAATGGATAAACTTTCTAGCCAGGCAGAACAGGAAAAAAAGAGAGAAAATACAACTTACCAGTATCAAGAATGAGAATGTTGATATTGCTACAGATTCCATAGATAATTAAAAGAGTAACAATTCACTTTAGATAAAACCATTTCTTAAATTGTAACAAGTATTTTTGAACTATCTTTTTGAACTATCTATTTAATCATGACAGAAAATAATGAGATATTACCATAATACAGAGGAAGAAATTTATTTCAGAGTGGTTAAGTAATTTGCTCCAAGTTACATGTAAAGTAAGTAACAAGGACAAATTTGAAATCCAGTCTGGACCCAAAGCTCACACCTGAAGCTAGTATGCTATCAAAAGTAGCTATTAGGAAATAGTAAGATATAAAAAAGCAAAGGTAGTTTGAGAAAAGAACTGTAGAAAGTAAGGAATTTGCATTTCATTTTGTAGGCAATAGGGAATTATTGAATAAACATAAGACTAAAATTGTGAGAGTTATATTTCAAGCAAATTAATCTTGTTTGAGGTAATATGACAAGATGGAGAGAGGGGAGACCGGAAGTATGGAGGCTATTGCCTAGTTCAGAGAAAAGGCTCTGAGTTACAAGTTAGGCAGCAGCAAGAGCAAAGAAGATGGGCTGTTAGAAGGCAGAATATAGCAGAATCAAGTCTTGGCCACTAACTGGATGTTCTGGAGAAGTAATGAGGTAAAATTCAAAAGTAACTGGGATGTTTGAGCTTGCAGATCATGCATAATGGTAATACTGTAACAGCAGTGGGAAGAAAATCATGTGTGTGGGAGAAGATGAGTGAGGGCAGAAAGACATCCAAGGTAAGAAGTTTATCAGGTAGTTTAAAAGTAGTAGTGACCCTTTGAGAGAATTCAAAATTTGCTAGAGAATGAAGACATGGGATAGATGAAATATAACAGGAGAAAATGTAGATTTAAAAAAAAGGAAGATTAAGGACAGATTTTTGGAGAGTGAACATAGGTGCCAGGAAGAAAAGCCAGAACAACAGTAAATCGAGATAATAGTGTAGTAGTTAAGAGCACAGCCTATGAAGCAGGTTGCTTAGAGTTTAGTAACAGCTCTAGCAGATTACTTGCCATTTGACTTTGTAGAAATTACTTAACTTTCTTGGCTTCATTTATAAAATGGAGATAACTAATAATAGCTCATAGCTAAGTTAGTATCCTGTCCACATGACATGTACTAACTAACATATTAATCCTCAAAACAATCATGGTACATCCAGTATATGAGGAATCAGGCCCAGAGAAGTCAAGTAACCTGCCCACGGTGACACACCTAGAGAGTGGAGAAGTGAATACTAATAATAATAATAGGATAATCATAATGATAATAGCTATTTTATATAGTTTCTGGATTAAATGAGTGGTGTCATATAAATGCATTTAGAACAATGCCTGGAACACAGTAAGTACTCAATAAGTATTATTTCCTATTATTATAATTGTTATTAGCGTGAGGTAAACAAGGGAAACCTAATACAGATGGCATAAGGTTTTTTATGAAAAGAAGAAAGCAACAACTTCAAATACTATAGGCAGGTCAAAGAAGAGAACTGAAAGGAAGTCATGGGATCCGGGAATGAGAAAGGATCTTGTTGAAGGTGTGCCTTCGTGACTCAGTCAGTTAAGCATCTAACTCTTGGTTTTGGCTCAGGTCAAGATCCCAGGGTTGTGAGATCAAGCCCTGCTTTGAGCTCTGGGGAGTCTGCTTGTCACTCTCTGACCCCCCGCTCCTTCCCTACTAATATAAATAGAATCTTTAAAAAAGAAGAAGAAAGAAGAAGAAGAAGAAGAAGAAGAAGAAGAAGAAGAAGAAGAAGAAGAAGGAGAAGAAAAGCAAAGGAAGGTTCTTGTTGAGTGGTCAGAAAGCAAAAGGAATGAGGCTACTCCTATAGGAAGTGTGCTGAGAAGAAAACAGAATGCTAAGACACAGCTAGAAGTAGGAACAGTATGAATGGACTTTATTTTAGGATGGGCTGAAAAATTTCTTTCTAGCTTAAGAAGAAAGAATCAAGTGGAATACCAAGAAAGGATAATTAGTAGAGCAAGATCATGGAACAGGTGGGAGGGATGGGATCATGGGTAAAGTAGGAGAGTGATCCCTGCAGTGCAAGATGTTTTTACTTCTCACGGACAAAAGAAAGAAAAATAAATAAATGCAAACAATGATAAATACTGTGGGGCAATAAAGATAGGATGTAAGAATGTTCACATCACATACAATCAGACTCAATTTCTAGATGAGGAACAAGAATTATGAAAGGGTTGGGTTTTCTGTGACTACATTCAAGTGAATAAAACCAAATTTTGAAAAAAATAGAAAACAATATTCATGGTGATAGATGGCAGCCCTTTGTGTTCATATAATCAAGGAGATAAAATTTATGCTGTTTATGCATAATTATTCTGAGCAACAAGCTGTACATATACAGGCATACCTTGTTTTATTGTGCTTTGCTTTACCGCACTTTGTAGACACTGTGTTTTTTACAAACTGAAGGTCTGTGGCAACCCAGCATCAAGCAAGTCTATTACAGGCACCATTTTTCCAACAGCATTTGCTCACTTTGTCTATGTAATATTTTGGTATTTCTCACAGTATTTCAAACTTCATTATTATTATATTTGTTATGGTGATCTGTGGTCAGTGATTATGGTTTGTTGAAAGCTCAGATGATAGCAGTTTTTAGCAATAAAACACTTTAAATTAAGGTATGTACACTGATTTCTTTAGACATAATGTTATGGCATATTAAATAGACCACAGTACAGTGTAAATGTAATTTTGACATGCACTGGGAAACCGAATAGTTTATTTGACTCACTTTACTGTGATTTTTGCTATAGTGCGGTGGTCTGGAACTGAACCCACACTATCTCCAAGGCATGCCTATATTTAGGTTTAATCTAGAATTTGGGAAATGAGGATAGCTTTTGACTATATATATATATATATATCTCATCTTACAAAGACACATAACTCTGACACTATCTCTAATAATTATGACAAAGGAGGTGACAAATGGATTTGAAGTAATAGTAAAAACCAACCCTGATATTTTAATTATAGTAAAACATTTCTGAAAATTATTCATTGATATATCTTTATTTTTAATTTATTTTTAAATTAGTCTAAATAAAAAATTAACATACAGTATTATATTAGTTTCAGTTATACAATAGAATAATCCAGCATTCTAAACATTACTCAGTGCTTATTAAAGTAAGTGTATTTCTAATCCTTTTCACCTATTTCACTCATCCTTCCCCTGCACCTCCCCGCTGACGACCACATATGTCTTTAAATCATTTAACTCAAAGGGCCCGGCCTGAAAACTTTTCGTTTTTGTATTTATTCTGTTTAAGTCCTACCCCCAAATATCCACTGTATTTAAAAAATCAGACTATTCCACATGTATAAATCATGCAATATCATCTTCAAATTAAAATAAATAGCAACCTAAAATAATTAAAGGAAGGTGACAATTATATCATTGAACTTGTCATACTAAATAAGAGTAAAACTTTCAAATTTCACTGGGATACCTAGAGTATACGGAAATGAATTTTAAGGAGTTGTTATTTACCTAATATCTAATAAACTGACTAAACACTAGTTATGGAAATTACATGACCCCGATGACTTACCTCTCAAGATGAACGTAGTGTCGGGAAAGAATGTTTTTAACCAAAAACACAGTCTTGGCATTAGCCTCAGGACCCATCAATTTGGAAAAATATAATTTTGCACGAAGAAAATACCCAACAGGCCACAGCCACTCCTAAAAAAGGGTGATTTAAAAGTAAAGAAAAAAAAAAAAGAGCTGTGAATAACTTTAAAGCTATTTGAAAAATAACTTCAACTGAAAACTCTGAAAAGAGAATGAAATTCTTACAGGTCCTTGGTGATAATTGAAACCTTTAGCAAGATTGTAGTTGTCATTGTCTAAGGCATTGTCATAAATTCCACAGTAAACCATATCACTGCAAAATGATTGAAATTTAGGTTAGAAAAAGATCAGCTATTACACAAGAAGCATTAGAAAGATTTTTCAATAGCAAAAGTAAGAGAAATAATAAAATTATTTTGTCTTCCAAATCTATAGAATAAGCTCATCATCTATCTAACCTTAAATTAGTATATACTGGGTTTAGAATACTTTGGGTTTTTTTTACAACCCATTTAAAAAATTAATTAATTAGCTAATTAACTAATTTCTAAGTAAACTCTACATCCAATGTGGGTCTTGAACTCATGACGCTGAAATCAGGAGTCACATGCCCTACTGACTGAGCCAGCCCAGCACCTCCAGAATACTTCAAGAATGTGTTAGGAGGGACGCCTGGGTGGCTCAGTTGGTTGGATGACTGCCTTCGGCTCAGGTCATGACCCCGGAGTCCCGGGATAGAGTCCCGCATCGGGATCCCAGCTCCATGGGGAGTCTGCTTCTCCCTCTGACCTTCTCCTTGCTCATGCTCTCTCTCACTGTCTCTCTCTCAAATAAATAAATAAAATCTTAAAAAAAAAAAAAGAATGTGTTAGGAAATGATTAACAAATAGTTACTGGCTAAAAAAAAAAAAGATAGATATATATAAAATAAAATAAAATAATATAAAATATATATAGTATTCAGGTATCTTGCCTTCAAGGAGTTAGTCTGACACTAAATATTGGTTAAAGTCAATTATTTCACTAAGCTTCTCATATACTGATGATGACTAAAATACAAAATAATTTGAATTAGTAAACATTAAAGATACAGTTTCATTAATTATTATATATGAGAAAGGTTTTTTTTTTTAAGATTTTATTTATTTATTTGACAGGCAGAGATCACATGTAGGCAGAGAGGCAGTCAGAGAGAGAGGGAAGCAGGCTCCCCACTGAGCAGAGAGCCTGATGCGGAACTCAATCCCAGGACCCTGAGATCACGACCTGAGCCGAAAGCAGAGGCTTAACCCACTGAGCCACCCAGACGCTCAGAAAGGTTGTTTTTTAAACTCGTCCATGAAGTTATTTTAATACTAACTAAAATTGGAAAAAGTTTTTTTTAAAAAAACCTAATTAAAATAGATACTTATCAAAATACAAATAGCAACCAAATAGACATAGAAAATTTCTATATTTACAAACTTAACAAAGTATTACAAACTTACAAAGACACATAATACAGATATATTTTTGTAGACATAAAGACAGATAATACAAGACAGTTATCTGTAGTCAGTTTAATAAATTATCACTTTTTTTCTTTTAGTGAGAGGCAGAACTTGCTACATGAGTAAGCTTTAACTGTGGGTTCCAGTGGTTCCTAACACCCCTGAAATTATGAAGAACACCTCAGAATATAGATACATACAAAAAGTCTGCATCTCAAGACTGAAATGAGTACATAGTAAATTAGGAAAATTCTACAAAGGTAAGGATACTATATAGAAAAGGGGCTCTGTCATATATTGATATAGAAAGCAAATTAATGTTGGGTATCAAGCTTTAAAGTAAAACAACAAAAGACAAACAGGAAGGTCATTAGAAACTCAAGAAAAAACAAAAGTTGGAAAAGAAAAGAAATATAAAATGGCATAAACACAATCAAAATAAAAACAAAGTCAATGGTTTAAATAAAAACAGTGGGGTAATTATATAGAAAGGATGGAAATGGTTGGTAGTAAGGTGAGGAGAGAGTTACTCTTTTATCTGTCATCATTAGAAGTAATCAGTTAATGTCTAATATTTTTAAGAAACTCAAGAAACATCTGTACACACATAGTATTTAGAAATATGGAGGGAACTACTGGGAGTTAACAACTTGGAAAATAAAGACTGTCTCTAAGGAGACAATATGTCTATACTTCCAATATCTGTAATAATCATGTATTACTTTTACAACCAGAAAACAATAGGCATTAGGAAATATTCATAATGTATTAGTTTTATAAGCTTAAAACTCTTACTGATTACTCAATATAGGACAAGCATTATGAACACTGATATTTAATGAAGATACAGCTGGTATTTTTAAAAACTCTGTTTGAATGCAATTTTAGAGAGTGTGCTGACAACCAAAAAAATTAGGGCTGATGCAATATAATAGCAACAACATTCTTAATACTTATACTCCAATTTACTCTGGGTCAAAAGTTTTCATGCCAAGATTAAATATAATTAAATATAATTATTTATTATATACCGTATGAACAACATTCTTAAGACTTATATTTTAACTTACTCTGGATCCAAAGTTTTCATGCCAAGGGGACCAAGCAATTTTTTTTCTGCAATCTCCAGAGCTTTCCATGCTTTTTCTGCAGTAAAGAGCTCAGGGGCCTAATGAATGTCAAAAACAAATATTCAAACTTTCGAAGCTCACGAAATAATTAGTTTTCACCCACAGTGGAACATAAACTATTCATAAACTTGGAAATGAAAACTATTTAAAAATTTAGTGTGGGTCGAATTGGTTTTGAGCACAGATGCCTAACCAGATCTAATGCTATGGGGCTGACTCAGAAGCACTGTTCTTGGCCTTAGAAGGTAGGAAAGCTGCTAGAGGTGATTATTTCCTTGTGTCATTTTAAGAACGTGTATGAGCTCCAGAAGGAAGTTGCCACAGCTACAATGAAGGCAGAGCACATTTAAACGCATCTAATTCATTTTTCAGAAGATTTATAATAGCTTCCTTTAAGTGTATCTGGTAATTGTTTTTTGCTTTTGGGGTTATAGCGAAATACAGAATGACTTGCATTCTAACAGCATGAGTAAATTTATTTGTGATACAGAGAAGGAGAGAAAGCATATTTAGTACTCTTTTCGATAAGGTAGAAACAGCTAAGCAGGCACAGAAGGGCACACACCTCCTCTGTTTTACTGTCCTTATAGTTTACTTTTAGACTAAGTAGAGATAAAATAAAGGGAGTCTAGAATTCCTGGCTAGATAGAACACATTACAGCAATACAATAAAGGAAACAGAGTACGAGTTGAAGCTACTCACATTAATTCACCAGTCTAAAGCTTCCCAACTAGGTGTTGAGGTACTACTGGTCATTGCACAGGTGTGCCGAAATACCCAGGCCTTCAGCTTTCCAGGCAGGGGGCAGGCCCGTGGCTAATTGAAGCAGTTGGACCTGGCACCACTGACCTAATCCATTTTGTCCAGTATTTGCTGTACAAATACCATTATTTTCTACATGTGCTATCATATGAAAAACATTGGGAAGTACTTTATTAGTTGTCATCTATTATTTTCTGTTTTTTGATGCCAGATGTTGTAGGTTAAGGGTGGTATGCACAACGCTTTATTAATTTAGAAAAACTGTATTAAACTAGCTAGTAAACAGTATGCTTTTTGGCAAGTAAATGAATTTGAAAACAAATGGGAATAAAAAACTAAATATACTCTAAATAAATAAATAAAATCTTTAAATATACTCTATCACAACATTTCTGAAATTTGAAAATAACAATTCACTTACTACAACCATTGCTATGGTAAAATTAGGCCTGAGTTGATAGTCACACCAAGGGCTTGAAGCTCCATAACTATCTTTGTATATTCCACGTTTGTGAACCAGATTAGGATGCTTTTCATTAGAATCTGAAGGGTCTTCTGATACATGAAACAACTTTTCGAAGTTGGCTTGTATTTTTCTGTCCCACTCCTCATAGGAGACTGTCACAACCTTTCCTGAAACATGAGAAAAGACTTGGCAGTTTTAAGCATTCAAAGAGAGCCATATATTTAGTTACAGCCAAAGTCATATTTAGGCAATAAATTATCCACTTTTTAAAAGTATCAGGGTCTTCTGAAGGACAACAGCCTGAAATTTAAAATTATCGTTCATTGTATTACCAGAAAGGATTAGACTCCATCAAATGATCCCTGATTTGTCTTTGTATCACTCTTAACATGTTTGATAAAGTTACACGTATGGTGCACTTGAAATGAGGCTAGTCTGAATTGAGAAGTGCCAGAAGCGTAAAATATATACCGGATTTCAAAGAAAATACTCCTCCCACAAAAGAATGCAAAGCAGCTCATGAATAATTTCATGCTGATTACATGCTGAAATAACATTTAGCATATACTGAATTAATAAAATATATTATCATAATCAATCTGCCCTATTTCTGTCTACTTTTTAAAATGAGAGTACTAGAAAATTTAAAATTATATATGTGGCTGAAAAAGATCATATATATGGCTCAAATTTTATTTCTTTTGCATAGCACAGTTGTAGAAAAAGAGATGTAAAGATTTCATAAGTGTTCACAAAAATGCAACTTGCTCACAGTCACATTAAGGACAAAAAAAAGCACAATAAGGCAGTAACTATGATGCTTTATGTCATATCTCAGGTCAAAGTTGCTGCAAAAATATGGTTAGTCACCAGGTTTGTTACAATTTTATACTAGGAAATTAACGTTTTTTCTTTCTTCTTAATCTTAAGGGTTTCTAATATTAGTTCATAGACTCAAATGATGATTACACAGATTAAGAGTACAGACAGTATATTCAAAGTTTCTTAAATAAAATAAACAGCTTACCATGCTTTTTTACTGTGACTTCATGAAAAGGGAAAATTCTTTTTTTGGATAATTCCAGCAACCAATGGACAGCAGATTTACTCAGGCCCACAATTTCCACAGCAGACCCATCTCTAAAATTAAAATAAATTTTGTTCTGTGAGTTGGAGTCATTTAAGCACTACTTAAAGGGCATTCAATAAAAAATTTTGATGAATTATATACTATAAAAATAATTATCTATAAAAACCCCTCACTTTATGGAAATGTATACTACATATATAAGAAATCACTCCTCTTACTATTTTGCCATTGCTTACCTTCTTAACAATTAAAAAAAGTTCTATGAAGTGGAATGGTGATTATGGAGTTAAAGGAGATGGCAGCTGGAAAAGGTAGGGGTGAGGAACCAGAGAATACTGAAATAGAGCACCAGAGAAAAGATAGCAAACATGGGATATAAGGCTGGATAAAGTCAGGGAAGAGACACATAATCTGAAAGCCCATTTTTAAGAAAAATGAAAGGGAAGTATAAGAAGATCTAATAATGTACCAAAATAAACATGTTTTAAAAACAATTTGCAAAGCATGTAACGACACATAAAATTAAATGATTTTTTTTCACAAGTCTGACTGAAGATAAAATTTGGAATAAGAAAATAGTTTCTCAGACTTGATACTTTTTTTTTTACTTAATTAATTTTTCATTTTTTTAAAGTAGATCCTGAGATCAAGACCTGAGCTAATATCAAGAGCCAAATGCTTAACCAACTGAGCCCTCTGGGCACCCCTAGTATGTAGTATTAAGCATTTAAAACCATAAAAAGAAATGATGGGATAAAAGATAAAAAAAAATTAGGGGGGGAAAAGGGTTCAGAAATTAAAAGTATTCCATAAAGAACAGGATTTGGGCATTTTCTACATTTATAAAAGATGGGCATAATGAAATATTTACAATGAAATCAGTTCAGGTTAAGATAAGATCTTAATGACAGGGATAATGAATCACAAAACTTTCCTTTGAGGTGCTTGTAGAGAATCACCCATGAGAACTTCCAGAAAAGAACAAAGAGCTTTACTTGATGACTTGTAACAAGAGAGTTATATTGTAGGAGAGAAAGGAGTGAGTGGAAGAGAAGTAGGAGGGAGGAAGGGAGCTTTTGACTGATTGACTTTTTATAAAGATCATTTATTTATTTATTTATTTGAGAGAGAGAGAGAGAGAGAGAGAGAGAGAGTGCACTCGTATGTGAGTCTGTGAGTGGTGGAGAGACAGAATCTCAAGCAGACTCTGCACTGAGTGCAGGGCCCAGTGTGGCGGTGGGGGGCGGGGCAATGTGGGGCTTGATCTCACAACCCATGAAATCATAACCTGAGCCGAAACCAAGAGTTGGACGTTTAACCTACTGAACAACTCAGGTGCCCCACATTTTGACTGATTTAATATGAAGACTTCATGGTTAATAGAATAAAAGACTCCACAAGTAAGTGGTTTTAAAAAGGGTATTATTATACAATTACCATATAAATAAATACTACCTTGGAGTGGCAGGGATGCCTCTGTTTCTAGCTCTGTCACTTTCTCCCATTTTATCCATCCAGGTGCCACAATTTAAGCGATTTCCTCCATAAACAAATCCTGTTTCTTCGTCAACCCCTGCGGTTATATTAAAGCCTGAAAAAGCAAAATAGAACATTTATAAAATCTGATAGGGATATAATAAACTAGGAAAACTACTCTGGAAAGCAATGTGGTAATACCTTAAAAGTTGAAGATGCGCATATTCTAAGTAATTTCATTTCTAGATATGTACTTTAGAGAAATCCTTACCTATGTGCATATGAAGGTATGTACATGGATATTCAATGCAATGTGTTTGTATTAGCAAGAAAATAGTCACTGAGCAGAGGAGTGAATAAACACAGTGGTTTATTCATATGTGGAAAACTCACTATATCATTTAAAATTAATGAGCTGGATTTACAGTGCATCATAACTGATAAGACCCCAAAACAAAATGATCAAGCAAACAAGTTGCAAAAGGATATGCATAATAATAAGATACCTTTTCTTAGAAGTTTAAGATATAGATAATACTTATACAACCAGGTATGTTGATATGACTATGTCTAATATGATAATACTTGATAAAATTTAAAAACATAAAAGTTATATGTATATATTATAGTGTATTTAAATATACTGGCTACATACTATATAATGTACTGAATAAATACTACATGATACAAATCATATGTAATTTACACATACTCAAACTCATAAAATACAAATACATACATGGCAAAAAAAAAAAACCCTGATTATAGCATAGTCATTAATTCTAGAGAGGGAGGGAAGAGAGAGAGATAAAGATGAAGCTTCAGATACATCTGTAATGGTTTATTTCTTTACGAAACAAAAAAGAAAGATCTGAAGAAAATATGACCAAATGTTAAATATCTGTCTAATTTTATTTCTAGGCTTAAAGGTGTAATTTATATTATTATTTTCTCTTACTGAAATGTTTCAGTAAAACCTACAATCTTATTTAAAAACTACAATTATTCACAGATATCACAAAAAATGTTCTTTTAAATATAAAATCAATTTCTATTTCGTTCCCTAAGTGAAGGATAAAAAAAGTATCAGTGATTCTTACTAGTTCAATCATGTATACAATTTGTACGTTACCACTACAAACACTAAATTAAATAAAGGAGGTTAACTACTGTTTAAAATATAATTTAGAACATGTAAGAAGGAATTTAAGTTTTTTTTTTTTTTTTTTTTTTTAAAGATTTTATTTATTTATTTGGGAGACAGAATGAGAGAGAGCATAAGCAGGGGGAAGAGGGAGAAGCAGGCTACTTGCTGAGCAGGGAGCCTGAAGCTGAGCTCAATCCCAGGACACCAGGATCATGACCTAAGCTGAAGGCAAATGATTAACCAACGGAGCCACCCAGGCGCCCTAGAATTTAAGTTCTTCAGTCTAACATCAAAATTTGCCAATGAGGGGCGCCTGGGTGGCTCAGTGGGTTAAAGCCTCTGCCTTCGGCTCAGGTCTTGATCCCAGTGTCCTGGGATCAAGCCCCGCATCGGGTTCTCTGCTCAGCAGGGAGCCTGCTTCCCCCTCTCTCTGCCTGCCTCTCTGCCTACTTGTGATCTCTGTCTGTCAAATAAATAAATAAAATCTTTAAAAAAAAAAAAAATTTGCCAATGAGTTAGTGAGTTATCTGAAATATCTGAAATAGATCACTTAAAATGATTATCATTTTACATTAAAAACAATCATGTTTACAAAAAAAAGTCCACAATCCTATTACCCTAACAAAACTATTACATTTATGTATTCCTTTCTAGTCTTTTCACATAATAATATTTTCATAAATATTTCATATCAACTATTTTTCATGTATTACATTCAACACCCATAAGTCCTTAATATTTTATAGTCCTTAATATTTACATTATATTAATATTAATATTATACAAATTATAAAAATTATGATTTGTAGGAATTACAGAATTTTTCATTCAAGTCAATGTAAACATTTCCTGTTAAACATAAAGACTGTTTCATCCTTTTATGTGATTGTAAGCAATGTTATGATCAATATTATGTAATATCACTTTTTTATGTGTTTTAGATTACTTCATGGACTAAAGTCCCAGGAGTGGAATAAATTCATGAACAAAAACATGAATATTTTATATCTCATAAAACATACTTGGGTATCTATCTATCTATCTATCTCCAAATTGCTTTCCAAGAAGAATGAGTCAATTTACAATGTCATCTGTAGTATCTGAATACCTCTCAAATCTAAAAACAGTTATTTGTTACTGTTTGTTATGGACTGAATTGTGTAAACACCCAAATTCATACGCTGAAGTCCTAAATCCAGTATATCAGCATGTGACTTTATTTGGAGATAGTAATCTAAAAAGTTAATCACATTAAAATAAGGTCATTAGCTTGGGCTCTAATCCAATTTGACTGGTATCCTTGTAAGATAAGGAAATTTGGGCACAGACAATGCACAAAAGGAAGCTGATGTGACAATACAGGGAGAACACCATGTAAACATGAACATGGCCATCTACCAGCCTAGGAGAGGGGCCTGGAAGAGATCTTTCTCTCACAGCCCTAGGGCCGAGTCAACCCTGCCAAGACTTTAATTTTGGACCCCTCACCTCCAGAACTGACAGACCATATTTCTGTCATTTAAACCACCCAGTGTGTGGTACTTTGTTACAGCAGTCCCAGCAAATGAATACATTGTTTTTTGCTAATAGCACTTATAGCACTATGTGCCATGCACTGTACTAAGTGCTTTAACATACATATATCACTGAATCCTCATATCAACCTTAGGAGGTAGGTGCTATTATTATCTTTCTTTTACAAATACAGATGAGTGAGGCAAAGAGAAGTTAAAACTTATGCAACAGAACACAGCTAGAAAATGAGTAGAGGGGAATTTTAAGATAGCAAGTCTGCATATGTTGGTTAAAAAAAAAAAGATAGCAAGTCTGCTTCTGGCATTGGTGCTTTCATTTACGCTATGCTCTCTCATGATAATTTAGTGGGGAAAATTGGTGACCCACTTTAATATTAATTTGTTTGAGTACTGGTAAGACTGAATGCTTCTCTTGTGTTTACCCCAGGACCCTGGGATCATGGCCTGAGCTGGAGGCAGATGCTTAATGACTGAGCCACCCAGGCACCCCAGGTCTAAGTTTTTTAGTAGCTGAAATAAAGAAAACAATAAAGTGACTAAATAGTAGATGGATATGGCTGAAGAATGAATTAGTGAGATGGAAGATCAGACTAAAAAATTTCCAGAGGCAGCAGGAATGGAGAAGAAAAAAATAGATAAGAGAAAAAAATATATATTTTTTTTCTTAAAAATATAAGAAAGGAGCTAAAAGCTGTGTGGGTAGACACAAACAAGAAGATATCCAAATAATAGTACTCCCAGAAAGCATAAAGAGAAGAAATACCTGAAGAAATAAAATGACAAATATTCCAGAAATAAGAGAAGATATCAGATTGAAAGGGCTCATAGAATGCCAAATGAAACAGATAAGAAAAGTTAGAATAAAATCCTGAATGAAAACAAAGAGATGGTTCTGAAAGCTTCAAGAAAGAAAGAGTAGATCACTACTAATGGAACAAGATAAAGGTCAACAGAAAATAATTGGATGCAAGAAGGCAATGGAATAATACTTTTTAAAATATTGAAGGAAAAGAACTTAAACTCAGATGCATTATGTCATTTAAATGTGAGAACATAATAAAAAAATTTCCAGTCATACAAGGCCTCAGAAGGTCTGACACATAAATTCCAACTTTAAAAACACTTGGGATGCCTGGGTGGGTCAGTTGTTAGGTGTCTGCCTTCGGCTCAGATCACGATCCCAGTGTCCTGGGATGGAGTCCTCCATCGGGCTCCCACCCACTCCCACTGCTTGTGTTCCCTCTCTCACTGTCTCTCTCTCTCTGTGAAATAAATAGATAAAATCTTTAAAAAAAGTAAAAATAAAAACCCTCTTGAAGATAGTGCTCGTAACACAACAATGGAAACAACTATAGCACCTTAGAGATCACATGCTTTTTTACTGGGCACTGTTCTGAGAGGTTTCATAAGTAACAAATAAATGAGATTAATTTATTGAATTAACTCAAATAAATAAATCTTGGGGGATGTTTTAAGAGAGATGGACAGAAAAGATCAAAGTACACATAAAAGCTTATTGCTACCTAAAAAAAGAAATAACCAAAGAAAAGAGAAAGAAAAAGTCGAGTCAAAATAATTCATTAAAATACAGATGGGGCACATGCTAAATTTCTTGTTTTGTTAGGAATCAGTCGGTATAGTTATATAGATATAGGTCTTAGGAACAAAAATCATAAGGACAAGATGAGTGGATTAAAACGGAATGTGTTGGTTCTTCTTTATTTGTAAAAGGCAAGCCTATAAAGTTAATAAATGTGAGACATTATCTTTGTGACATGAGGGTGGGGTAGGATTTCTGAAATAAACTATGGTGAAGGACATCATAGATAAGGTTAATTTGGCTTTTAGAGGGAATATAGACTAGTGTAATCATTACAGAAAGAAATTTGGTAGTGTTTAATCAAAGAGCATATGAGTATAGTGTATGAGCTCTGATACAGTAATACCAAGAGAAAGAAGCCAAGCACAAAGTACAAATACTGTATGATTCCATGTATATGAGGTACATAGAACAGTTAAATATTTAGATGCAGAAAATAGAATAGTGGTTACTAGGGGTTAGGGGATGAGAGAATGGGAGTTATTGTTTACTGGGTACAGAATTTCAGTGTGGGATGATGAAAAATTTTGGAGATGGATAGCAATGATGGTTACACAACAATGTACTTAAAGCTCCTGTGTACTTAAAATGGTTAAAATGGAGGCGCCTGGGTGGCTCAGTGGGTTAAGCCACTGCCTTCGGCTCAAGTCATGATCCCAGGGTCCTAGGATCGAGCTCGGCATCAGGCTCTCTGCTCAGCGGGGAGCCTGCTTTTCTCTCTCTCTCTCTGCCTCCCTCTCTGCCTACTTGTGATCTTTCTGTCAAATAAATAAATAAAATCTTTGGGGAAAAAATGGTTAAAATGATATATTTTATGGTAAAATGATAAATGTGCATTTTGCCTCACACACAAAAAACATCAATAGTAAAAAAAGAAAAAAACCAATAATCCAATTAGAAAATGGGCAAAAGACACAGACATTTCATCAAAAAGAGATACAGATGACAAATAAGCACATGAATAGATAAATGTCCAATACCATTAGTCATTAGGGAAATGCAACTTAAAACCACAACGTATAGTGGTGTACCCAACCACCAGAACAGCTTAAAAAATGATTAACATCAAATGCTGCTGTGGATGTGGAGAAGGTGGGTCTCTTCAGTTTGTTCGGGGGAATGTAAAAAGATAGAGCTACTTTGGAAAAAAGTTCAGCAGTTTCTTATAAAACAAAATCCATACTTACCATATGACCCAATCACATTCTTGGGCATTTGCCCCAGAGAAATAAAAATTTATGTTCACACAAACACCTGTATATAAATGTTTATATTAGCCTTATTTATATTAACCAAAAAATGGAAAAAAACAAAATGTCCAATAGATGGAATGTTACATCCACGAAAGAGCATACTGTGGAGCGATACAATGGAATAAACCATTGACACATGGAACAGCTTGGAGGCATCTCAAAGGGAATTATGCTTAGTGAAAGAATCAATATCAAAAGGTTGCATACTATATAATTCCATTGATATATATTCCTTTTTTTTTTTTTTAAGATTTATTTATTTATTTATTTGACAGGGACAGAAATCACAGGGAGAGAGGCAGGCAGAGAAAGATGGGGACAGGCTCCCTGCTGAGCAGAGAGCCTGAGCGGGCCTCCATCCTAGGACCCTGAGACCATGACCTGAGCTGAAGGCAGAGGCTTAACCCACTGAGCTACCCAGGCGCCCCTCATTTATATATATTCTTAAAATGATAAAATTATAGAGATGCAGAACAGACTAGCAGTTGCCGGAGACCAGAGGTTGTTGGTGTGACTCTAAAGGGGTAGCACGAGGAAGACCTCTGGGCTGATGGAACAGTTTGGTATCTTGACTGTGCTAGTGATTACATGAAGCTATACACAGGGCAAAATTACACAGAACCATATACACATATGCTCACACACAAATGAGTAATATAAAAATAGTTAAAACTGAATATGGTCTAAAGTCTAGTTAACTAATGTCAGTTTCCTGATTTTGAAATTGTACTACAGTAAGATATACAGTAAGGTAAGATATCCTCATTGGGGAAGCTGGATGAAGGCTTCAGAATACTCTTATCTATAATTTTTGCAACTTTTTTTTTCTTTTCTTTCTTTTTTTCTAACTAGGCTCCACACCCAACCTGGAGCCCATACTCATGACCTTGAGATGAAGACCTGAACTGAGATCAAGAGTCAGGCACTTAACTGACTGAGCCACCCAGGCGCCCCATTTTTTGCAACTTTCTATCAGTCTCCAATTCTTTCAACATTAAGAAGTTAAAAAAATCTACATGCACATAAAACAGTGTATGTTTTGCAGAACATGAGTAAATACATAAAAATGTATATGTACTGTATGCTCCGCATATGTCTGTGCTTTACTTCCTGTTTCTAAAGGGTAATAAAATAAATTACCATTAGTCTTGCACTGGCTGGTGATGATAGTATGCCACAAAAATAAGAATATGATGAACTTCTAAGAGGTTAAAAAAGTGTATCTATTTTAACTCTGTAGATGAAACTTTTTACAAAAAGAATTTTCTAACAGCCCAAATTAGAGACAGATTGTAGATGAAATCTTAGCTCTGCCACTTAGTAGCTGTGTGACTCTAGGCAAGCTACTCTGCTTCAGTCATCTCATCAGTACAAATGGGAACACTACAACTCACCCCCCAATGTTCCTGGGAGTGTAAATGGGAGTAACATAGGTAAAGAGGTTATGCTAATGCCTAGCACATAATAAGTACTTATTATTATAATTATAAATGCAACCGCCAAAATTACCTTTCAAATTAGCTGACAAAATATATTAAATTTTATTTTTCCTCCAGAAGCTCAAACTAAACTCGTGAGATCGGGACTGTGTTAATCTTTCTCACTGTTATATTCTGAAGTTTTATACACAAATAAAATATTAGTCAAATATACGAACAATTAGAGGGTTTAATTCTACCTCATCAGTAAATCTTTACTATGTAAAGTTATGTACCTTCATCCTTCATGTTTCGATCTATCTGTGGACCAGCATTCCTTTCTCGGAATTGTATGCCCTGCATGTGTCTCTGCATTACTTCCTGTATTACTTCAAACAATGGTTGATCCTGTTTGAGACATAATGGATATTAATTCTGTTAGAAATCACATTTTTCTTACCTTCTCTCAAATCCCACAACTGATTTTCTGAAACATATATTGTCCTTTGGGGAAGAAATGGGGATCACGGGTGAGACTGGGGAAAGAAGGAGCTCTTATACACCAAATCGTAGAATCAGCCTTTGGCATATGAATATTTAACATATTGTAGTTTTGACTATTCATGTCTGTGACATGAAATAGTTTGTAATTTTGCTGACACAAAAATGATTCTTGTGAATTTGTGTAATTTCTATTAGAGAGAATTGTGTAGCTAATAAATGTATCTATCTTATACAGAGATCTAAACTTTAAATCAGCATTGCTGTTCTTACTCATTCACATATATAGTAATGGGGACAAATTACACACTAAAGTGATACTTTAGGTAAAAACTTTTTTTGAAAAATGTTCTTTGAATATTTCATGATAGAAACATCATGGGGACATAGACCTCTGCTAACTCTAAGGTGGTTTAGAAATCCTCCGCAGTCACATACCAAACAAACTATAATATAAAGGTAGATCAGAAGTGGCAAAAGTACAGTATCAGTGTACATTATTGACTGGGAAGAAAACCACTCAAAATGTTTTTTTTTATCCTGCACTGTTCATAACATAACCTCTGGACTCCCTGGATTGGTGATCAGGCTTTCCACAATTTGGTTCACCCTTTCCCACCTACTCTTACTACCCAGCAGGCACCCTCCATAAAAAGCCAAATCAGACCAAGCAGTATATCCTAAACTGTGCTTCGGTCCACCCTGCACTTTATTTTTCCTTTCATCTCTGAAGTCTTCCCACACCTTCCCTCATTTCTGCTGAAATCCCACTTACCTTTTAAGGTTCAGTTTAGGTGAAATTTTAGCTACTTAATGAAGTCCTCCCTAAGAACCACCTACTAGATTATCTCTCTCCCTTTTATGCACAGCATTTCCCATGCACTTCCTTTTACAATGGCCATATTAGGTACATATCATATCTTCTGTCATGTTGCAAGTTCTTTAAGCAAGAAGCAAGTCTTATCTGCTCAGAGAACTAGCAGGAGCTAAACATATACCAATGCTTGAAGAATTTTTCAGATTTGGCTTCTTTATTACATACATTTTTATATTAGAGGCTAAGTTATTTTTCAGGAAAAAAAAATTGTTTGAAGAGGATTTTTACCAGTGTGCCGGCAGACAAAGGAACAGAATCATCTGTAGGATACATTCTGGAAACTGGGCACTTGAGAATGTCTAGGCCATTTGGAACCATTTTACAGTAATCCTGAATACACTGTAGCCACCACCACACAGCATCCCGGCAATTGTATCTGGCATAAGTTCCTTCACCCAGGAGATTAGGAATGAGACCGTGTCTCAGAGTACCAGCAAATGCTAAAATAATATTCCTAAAACAACAGAATTAAGTGGATCATTTGACATGAAAACAATCACTTAAAAGATTTAAGTCCCTTTTTGTGACTATTATTTCAGATGCATTTTCTCTCTTGTCCCTATTTCTTTGAATTTTCATGTAGAAAGCGGTCATAATATGAGAGATTAAGCACTGAATTAAAAGCCTGAAACCTTGATCCTAGCTCTGGCTTTTTCCCTGACAATCTGTGTGACTTACCCTCTCTGGGATAGTTTTTTCATCTGCGGATTTAGGTATTGGACTGGGTGGCTTTTAGGGTCCATTATAGCTCTAGAGTCTACTTCTGAAATCTGCGGTATTTCAAAATGAAGTAAATGTGACATGAACTGTATTATTTTAAATACTGCAGCAAATACATAAGAAAATAAATGGGTAAAAGCTGACCTTGGAAACCATGATTTATTTTCAAAAACTGGTAGATAATACTTAATCTTTTAAAGTATTATTGTACCATCGTATACCAAATGACAACTTCGTAAGATGGAACAGCATTTTTAAAAGGGGCATGAAAGTAAGATAGGGTTTAAAACCTAGCATTGCCATCTGTATGATCTAGGAAAAGTCATTTAAAATGTCCAGGCTTCAGTGCTTTTTGGTTAAACCATTTAGAAATTTAATTAATTTTGTGTCTCAGTTTAATGCCCGCCTCTTCAGTAACAGTGCAGTCATTTGTATTCTGCGGCACAAGTGTTAATAGGGACAGTGACACTTCAACTGAGAAAAGGTCAGAATGCAGCAATCGTAACCATCCAGAACAATGTCATACACTTGAAATTTGAATAAAAAGACCTCTGTCCATGAATATCTCTGCAGAAGGAGGAAGTAGAACTCTCTGTGGTACAGATAGCCCTGTGCCCACCAAAAATTGCTTTCCTACATGCTTCAACCTACTTTTTAGGTGGCTGTGTCCAGATTACTAGATTCTAAGGCAAGAAGGTGAATGGAACTGATGTATGATAAGTGCATGAAACAGGTGTACTTTCCCCACTCTCTTTCCCTCTCTGCAAGCTGGCTGGAGAGTAGTAATCAGAAGCCCTAGGAGATGTTTGATTCTCAAGAAGAAGGAGCCTATATCCTTGAATCATTATGTGGGAAGCTGGCTCCTGAACACCCACATTGAACCAGAAGCAAGAAATAAATTTCATTTGTGAAAAACCATTGAAATGTAAGAATTTATAATTTATAGCACATAGCACTACCTTAACAAATACATTATCCTCTCAGAATCATCCAAGTCAGTGTTGGCAAACTTTTTCTGCAAAGGACCAGACAGTAAATATTTTAGGCTTTGTTGGCCATATATACGGTCCCAGTCATGCATCCTTCTTCTTTTTTAAATGACTCTTTAAAATGTTAAAAACCGGGGCACCTGGGTGGCTCAGTGGGTTAAAGCCTCTGCCTTTGGCTCAGGTCATGATCCCAGGGTCCTGGGATCGAGCCCCGCACCGGGCTCTCTGCTCGGCAGGGAGCCTGCCTCCCCCTCTCTCTGTGCCTGCCTCTCTGCCTACTTGTGATTTCTGTCTGTCAAATAAATAAATAAAATCTTTAAAAAAAAATGTTAAAAACCGTTCTTTGCTCCCAGGTCATACAAAACAGGTGATAGGCCACATTTCTCTGACCCCTGATCTAGATAGTTATATGTAAAATTAAAAAGCAGAAATTGTTGATGGTATACAGAAACGATAATTGGGAGCCAAGATAACAAGGAAAATAATAATAATGATTTACATTATTATGATTTACATTTATATATGATGATTTATATATAATGATTTGCATTTATGTAATGCTTAGCATGTGACAGATGTTCTAGACACTATAACTGTATTAGTTCATTTAATCCTCACTAGGGACGCCTGGCTGACTCAGTTGGTGGAGCATGTGACTCTTGATCTCAGAGATGTAGATTTGAGCCCCATGTTGGGTGAAGAGATTACTTAAAATCTTTTCTTAGAAAAAGATTTTATTTATTTGAGAGAGATAGCACATGCACACTTGTGAGTGAGCATGAACAGGGGAGGGGCAGAGGGATGAGAAAACTCCCCACTGAGCATGCAGCCCTACACAGGGCTTGATTCCAGGACACTGAGATCATGACCTGAACCGAAGTCAGATGCTAAATGGACTGAGCCACCCAGGCATCACCCAAAAATAAAATCTTAAAAAGAAATCCTTAGAAAAACCCTGTAATTTAAGTACTATCACCATTTTACAGAGTACAAAGAGGATAAATAATGTATTAGTTGGTAGTTTGGAACCAGGATTAGAATGTGGCATCTGGCCCAAACCCAAGTTCTTAACCACTATACTGTGCTGAATCCTAATGTTCCATGTTCTACTTCTTAATCATAGTTATTTAGGAACATATAAGGAAGAAGCAAACAGCCTCCCAAATTTCTATAACCCCACAATGGTATCTTAAGTGAATAAGAAAAGGTCTTCTTATATTAGGTAATAGGGAAGAATGTAATACATTTCAGATGTCCACTTAGAAATCTTTAATCTAAAAAAGAAATTTTCAATTTTAAAAAGACCCAAACCAGAACTTTTGTCATTTGAAGAGGGAAACTTCAAGTTTTTCAAATGACATCAAAACAAGTACCATTTAAATGCTTTTTCTGCTGAAAGTTTTAACTTGCAGAGCAGTGCTGTCAAACTTTTGCCTTGGGCTGCTGAAGATCACCTGGAGCCCTTGTAGAAACACAAATTTCCATCCGCTATTCTACCCTCCCCACCCCACATTCAGAGCTCCAGCATAAGGACCAAGAATTTGCATTTCTACCAAGTTCTCAGGTGATGGTGACTGCTGATCTGTGGTACTGATTTGTGCTGGTTTGAGTGGCACTGCTGTACAGCCTCTCTTTTCTACCTTTGACAATTTCATTCATATTGCTGTGCCATAAGAAAACATTATTTTAAGACTAAAAGACATAACTGGAGGTTACAAGGCCTGACAACACATAGAGGAAAACCTGATACTATAATTCTTTCTACACAACTCAGCCTTCATTATAGAAGGGAAAAAAATGATAGAATTCAAATTTTACCCAAAAGTTCATCTGAGTTCTTATACTTAATTCGGGCATAGAAATTTTACTCTTTAGTGAGTGATGTTAGTAACATGATTACACATTTTTTGTTTTTACTGAGATCAATTAGCAAATGCTGAAGATAATTTGACCTATAAATGAAGGACTAGAACTTAATAACATCAAAGATATCCACTCCTTTGAAATTCTACGATCTTATTAAATAAACATGTTAAAAAAAACTATTTAAGGAAAACATAACCTCCTAAGTGTTATGAATAGATGGCAAGAAGGAAAGTTTGAAGAGCATGTGAAAAACGTTTACACATAAACTTGCATTGCAACTCTTTAGAGGTCTCCTACCTGGCCTCTACGTAGCGTCCAGTAATCAGCAGTAGACCTCTCAGTGCAATAAAAGTATCCCTTCCCCAGCAGCGGAAAATACCAGAAGAAAAATGAGGTAAGCCTAATAGAAAATACAACAAAGTAATACATTAATCTTAATAATACACACAGGCTTATGAACTCCAGTACTGTAGGCCAGTTCCCCTAAGGCAGGGGGACAAGAATGAGGGAGTCTGCAAACCCTCTAAAATTATCTGTAAAATCTATGACTATACCTATGTCAACATTTCTGTGATGAGTTTCCATGTTTTTTTTTTTTTTTTTTTTAAGATTTTATGTCTTTATTTTTGAGAGAGAGGGAGAGCAAGAGCAGAGGGGATGGGCAGAGGGAGAGGGAAAAGCAGACTCCCTGTTGAGCAGGAAGCCAGGCAGGGCTTGATCGAGGACCCCCCAGGATCATGACCTGAGCAGAAGCAAGATGCTGAGCCCACTGAGCCACCCAGGCGTCCAGAGGTTCCTTATTCTTATTTTTTTTTCTTTTTATTCTTATTACATTCTTAAAGGAATCTGTGACCTCAAAGAAATTAAGAGTCAGGGGCAGAGAAGGGTGCTTATCTACATGGATTAGAATGTGAATCTAAACACAGATAAACTTTCTTTTGATAAATTGAGGGTTGAAATCAGAGATCTAATATTTAACATATAAACAAACACTTACTACAATATTAATAGTATATATATTTTCAGTGACACAAGTGGGAACGGTTACTAAAGCATAAAGTACACTCTTCAGATATGAGAGTGGAAGAGCTCAGGAGAGAGAGAGCTGTGCCATGTAACACTAATGATATATTTGAAAAGATTCTACCTGCAATTAGAGGCAACAAATTAATGTTGATCTTAATGATACATAACTGAACATGTTTATTAATTTATTAGTCTAGATTCAAACTTTAATACCAAATTTCTCATTAATTCAAAACTACTTAAAAGTGTTACAGGGGTGCCTGCGTGGTTCAGTCAGTAAAGCATCTGCCTTTGGCTCAGGTCATAATCTTGGGGTCTGGGACTGGGCCCCCATCAGGCTCCTTACTCAGCACAGCATCTGTTTCTCCCTCTCCCTCTACCCCTCCCCCTACTTGTGCTCACGCTCTCTCCCTCTCTCTCAAATAAATTTAAAAAAAAAGTGTTACAGTTTGTTGGCAAGGTTTTACAAAAGAAAATAGAGATTTCAGGTACCAAATAACTTGAACATTCTACGTAAATGTAGCCACTATGCACAAGATAAAATAGGGTGATTGATGGATAAAATCTAAAATTTTTTTATTAACATATACTGTATTATTTGCTTCAGGGCTACAAGTCTGTGAATCATCAGTCTTACACAATTCATAGCACTCACCATAGCATATACCCTCCCCAATGTCCATAACCCAGCCACCCTATCCTTTTCCTTCCATCCCTCAGCAACCCTCAGTTTGTTTCCTGAGATTAAGAGTCTCTTATGGTTGTCTCCCTCCCCAGTCCCATCTTGTTTCATAAAATCTAAAATTTTACTTCTATACTGAGTTTAGTTTCTTATAAAACATGTCAAGAATACACTGTTACCTTTATTTGTACTAAAAACAATAATCAGTAGGAAAGTAAAGGAAATCAGCATTCTACTCAAAAAAGAAATACGCTAAGGCAAAAATATAACACATATTTCAGGAAGGGAAAACGAAGGTCTTAAGTAAAAGGTATACAGTATCCATTCATAAATATCTTCTAAGCATTTAACACTATCTGACATTATCTTGTTTTCTTGTTTTCTGGTTTGTTGCATGAGTAACTGTCTTTCCCTAGAAGAAAATAGGATTCACAGTTATAGAAACCTTATCTGGCTTGTTTACTAATCTATCACTGACAATTGTTAACTGGTATATAATATATATATAAATTTACTAAATGAATGAAATAAAAGGCTAATTATAAAAGGTAAATTGAGAGGCAAAAGAATTTGACTACAACAAAAGAAAATTTTGGCCATTTAAGTTTCTACTAATTGGGTCTTTACCTTTTTTGGAGCAGACATTTTTTCTAAGAAGGATCAGAATTAAAGGTAACATCAGACACTTCTTTCCTAAACTGTCTCCAAAATAATGGTATAAAATTTCCCTAAATACTTTGTGTATTATTTACACATAGCTGATTATTGATAAATGGTTTATATATGGTTGATGGTTATAACTTTGATGACGATGAGGACAGCAGTTGACATATACATGACTCTATGCCATGCAGACTTCCTGGTACTTTAACCCATTTAACACCTTGTATGAAATATGAGTATAGATAGATTCAAGGGCAATTTTGAGTTGATATATCCCAAAGTACAGTCAGTTCGTCTTTGTTAAGATTTCAAAACTATAAACTCTAGCACTGATATGTGGAAATGTTTGCATTAACTTTTGACCTCTAAGAGTATATGACTTACAGATCACAAATTTTGTGAGTGATTTCTACCTTGTCATTTATTATACAATTTTATAATTATACTTTTTATTTTACTATTACCAAAGGCTTGGTATTCATCTTAAAATGAACCCCCCAAAACCTGTCTGCAAATATGTGCAGTTCTATTCTTTGTTGGTATGGAGAGTACAGAACATTCCCTTGGGATACAGGAAGAAAATATAAAAACTTCTATTTATATTTATCAGTTTATCTTTATAGTTTATATTTTTGTTTTATACTGTACCTGATTATAAGTATATTGAGTATCATCTTCTATCAATATATCATTTATGATCTCGGTATATCAGTATACTTATTTTGGGAGTGCTTAACAATAGCAGTGAATAATCAAGAATGTTGAGATCACTATTTTGTGTAATAGGCTTCTAAGCAGCAGGCTTTAAAACCAAATTCTGCACATCAATTTATTTCCCACAATGATCCAGTTCAGTTTCATGAGAATCTTCATGGATTCATAGGGGAAATATAAGTACCAGGAGAAGATGAAATAGTTGAATGAAAATCTAAAACATAATTATGTAATGAAATATAATCATTCTAAATGAAAAGTTAATTTCTTTTTTAATTATCAGATCTAAGTCTTTTTTCTTGATATGGATAGATGCAAATTTAAGAGGAAATCACATAAATACTATTACTTTCATCTTGCAATTTGGTAATTTTCAGCTTAGTTTGGAAAGTTCTAAATTCAGTGGCCTTAAATGTCAAGGAATCTATGAAATCTAAGGAATGCTAAGAAATCTATTCTTAGATTTGTTACCTGATTCAAGTTTTAACATTACTTGCAGGAAAGGATGCCAAAAAATATAGTTGAAAGCATTTGACTGCAATTAGACACATAATAAAAAATTATTTGACACTTGTTTTGTGTTTTGTAACTTGTAGAGGATCTTTCTCTTATCTCTTGGTAATTTACAAGATTGAGTTCATTTTTTAAATTGGGAAAAAAGTATAATATAAAAGGGTAGTAAAACAAATCTGATAAAAAAATACAAAATGTCAAGAGTCAGGAAAAAAAAAAGTGCAGAAGGATTGACCAGCCACAATGAAAACCCCACATAAGTAAATGCCTGTTGTACAGTAGTAATTAAATAGTAAGCACAAATATTAGTTCTACAAGTAGATATGAAATTTTATTAAGCAGTCACATAAAATCTTGGATAACATCATGTCTTTTTCTAAAAATACTGATTTCCCCATAACTCTTCCTCCTTGAATAATATGGACTGACACATTTTAACCTGTATGTAATTTCTTACCTGCAGCTAGAGACACACAACACTGCTCCTTTTCTTTTGTGATCTCATTTAGCCTGTATGGTACATCCATAAGTGAAGGTGAAAGAAGTGGCAGAGAAGGGCACTTTCCTACTCCACACATCTGCACTGATCCCAGGGAAAGGTGTTTCACAAAGGTAGAGCCATTCTGAACAAAGCTGTAACAAAGTGGCTGAATTTAAAATACAATTTGTAGAAATACAAAATTTTTTATTATTTATTTACTTAAAAAGTTTTATTGTGGTAAGAACACTTAACTTGAAATCTACTCTCTTAATAGATTTTTAATTGTACAATTCAATAATGATACTGTTATTTACAAGCACAATGTTACACAGCAGATCTCTAGAACTTACTCATCTTGCACACCCATTGTTTCATAAATTTTTAGTAGTATCATTTTAATTTATTCTTTCCTTCAACTAGCCTCTCTACCAGATGTGTAACAATGGTAACACTGGCTGAAAATATTTCAGTTTGGTTAGATTTCAGAACTGCTTTCATTTCACCCAATATTATGGCTGGTTTTAAGTTCAAGGCCTATTGTGCAACAACTGGAAGGGCTGAAACTTTTTTTCAAATATTTTATTTATTTATTTGAGAGAGAAAGAAAACACAAGCTTGGTGAGGGGCAGAGGAAGAAGCAGACTTCCTGCCAAACAGGGAGCCCAATTTGGCGCTAGATCCTGGGACTTGGGGATCATGACCTGAGCCAAAGGCAGACGTTTAACTGACTGAGCCACCCAGGCACCCTTGAAGTCTTGTTCTTTCTGAAATTATTCCCAAATCAGTTTGGTGGCTCTTCAGTGGTACATTCAGATCTGTAATTTCATTTTAGGGAAATTTATCACTAAAGGCAAATTTCACTCATAGTAATAGCAGAATAATTTTTCTCTTAATGAAAAATTAGGAAAAAAACTGTACGCATATTCTAAAAATTATATCTGTTAACAAGTCAAAGAATAAGTAGAAGCAAATAATATGAAAAAATTAAATTTTCCCATGAACATGAGTTCTTAGCTTTACTGAACAGATTTTAATACCTATGTTTGTTTTTGTATGCTCCAAATAAAAGGATGCAAATACACTTACTATCCACTTACAAACTTTCTCAACTCTATGAATCTATGACAGTTCTTTACGTTTTGGTCTTTAAAGAGTATATAAACTGACTATATATGGTTTCTACACAAACATGCCTATTTACTCAAGCTTTGCTGGATATACCTTGACATCTGCTTCCATGCTATATCCAGAAGAGTGGTGTATGCACCAATTAATATAGCATCGAAGTAACATGGGATGAGATAACGTGGGATCTGCTTCAGGTAGAAGAACATAGCCTGCAACCATTTACCAACCTATTATAAAAATAATTTTAAAAGTTATTTTGGTGTGAATAGCCAAACTATGGAAAGAACCTAGATGTCCATGAACAGGAGAATGGATAAAGAAGATGTAGTATATATACACAATGGAATACTATGCAGCCATCAAAACCCCCGAAATCTTGCCATTTGCAATGACATGACAGAACTAGAGGGTATTATGCTAAGCGAAATAAGTCAATCAGAGAAAGACAATTATCATATGACCTCTCTGGTATGAGGAATTTGCGAGGCAGGGTTGGGGGGTCGTTGGGGGCAGGGAGGGAAAAAATGAAACAAGATGAGATTGGGAGAGAGATAAACCATAAGAGACTCTTTATCTCAGGAAACAAACTGAGGGTTGCTGGGGGGTTGGTGGAGAGGGATAGGGTGGCTGGGTTATGGACATTGGGGAGGGTATGTGCTATGGTGAGTGCTGTGAATTGTGTAAGACTGATGATTCACAGACCTGTAGCCCTGAAGCAAATAATACACTACATGTTAATTTTTAAAAAAAGTTAATTTGGTGTGTTTACAGGCTAGGTGCATTTTTTTTTTAAAGATTTTATTTATTTGACAGAGAGAGATCACAAGTGGGCAGAGAGGCAGGCAGAGAGAGAGAGAGAGAGAGGAGGAAGCAGGCTCCCTGCAGAGCAGAGAGCCCGATGCGGGACTCGATCCCAGGACCCTGAGATCATGACCTGAGCTGAAGGCAGAGGCTTAAGCACTGAGCCACCCAGGTGCCCCAGGATAGGTGCATTTTAAGAAGTAAATCCAAACATGTAGCTCTACTATCTAGTAATCTATCAACCAGATTTCCATTTGTTAAAATGGGAAGATGATGAAGAAGGGAGGAAAGGAGAAGTTTTCAGGTTAGAAAACTATGTTAATTTTATATACACCATAGTAATATAGTTTTTATTGTTTCCTTGTTTTATGAACTAGAATAGACTTTTACTTACTTCAGCAATAGTTCCTGATCGTGAAATAAGTCGGTTACTGACATAATCAATCATCCAATCTCCAGATCTCAAATTATCACAAAAGGGATGTCCCAAGTCATTCTTTGGTCTTATTTCTGCCAAGACGGACATTAATCCTGAAAATTCATAGAAATATCATGCTGTTATTGGCAGAGGCAATTTGTTCCCATAGCCTGGGCTACTGCTGTCTCTTAGTGATACGGGGTGAACACATACAGAGGTAGACACAAGGGCTGTTAAGACCACAGTCGCACTTCCCATGGTTGGAGATATGTGTGGCCACACTGGCTTGCCCTGAGATACAAAGAGATACTGAAGGAGACTACTGACGCAGGAGCTATGTAGAGCTTTCCAAGATTCCTAACTTCTGAGTCTTGTCTTGTTCTTCTGAATTTAAATATTATAATATTCAAAGGCAACTAACTGGCATAGTTTCCCAGGCTTAAGGCATTGGGGGGGAAATTGATTAAGTCTGTATCTTCTCATGTTAAAAAGTGGCGGAATCATTAATATTCAGGCAATTGCAGGAGTGGTTTCAGAGAGAGCAAGAGCATCTCTGGTGATAACAGGCCTGCTTTGGAAAGGATCTTTGAATTATAACAAGAGGGAGTTGGAACTAAACAAGCTACCAAGGTGAAGTATATGAGCATATTCTTAAATAATACTCAAGCAGAAACATTAGAATTTCTATGCATACACAGCAGTTTCTGTTATTTCAATGATGGAACAATAGTACTTCTTTCATTACCCAATAATGTAATAATTTCCACATTAAAAATATTATATTAATAGCCTCACCAAGTTCATTTTGACTAAATTTATTTATATATTTAGGATTTAATTTTACTTTATATATAGCATGTCTTGAGAAATAATAAATATATAAATTTAAGATGTACTTCTTTCTCTCAAGGGGCTTACAACCTTCTTTGGGAAACAAAGCATAAAACATAAAAAAACTAGAAAACAAGACAGTATAAAAAATAATGCTCCACTTTTGCTCTAACATTTTTTTTCTAACTTTTTAAAAAATTATTTATTTATTTATTTGACAGACAGAGATCACAAGTAGGAGATCACAAGTAGACAGATGAAGATCAGAAGCAGGCAGAGAGAGGTGGAAGCAGGCTCCCTGCTGAGCAGGACCCGGGGATCATGACCTGAGCCAAAGGCAGAGGCTTTAACCAACTGAGCCATCCAGATACCCCTGCTCTAGCATTTTTGAAGAAGGCAAATATTGCTCAGTAAATATAAGTTTCACTTGTTGAATAACGGTGACATGATGAAGCAGCATTTTAGAAAAAGAGATCTGATCAATGGAATGGAATGTTCTGTGGAAGAGGTAACAAGAAATTTGAAAACTGGTTACTTGGTTTTGCAGACAGGAATAGGGTGTTAACTACGAAATAAAAGAATATGGTATACTATAGAAAACACTGAAAAAATTCAGTCACAATCACTGATTGAATACAGAAGATAAAAGGGACAGATCCAAAAACTGATTCCTGGATTCCAACATGACTTATTATTATTATAAAAAGTAAAGAAGAAGAGAAGGGGGATTTTGTTTAGGGAAGAGAAAGTTAATGAAGTTGTTAAGTCTGACTTAATTGGATGTTGCTATTAAGAGTCTGCTAGTAATATCCAGTGGAATACTGGAAATACTAAACTGTCAGAGAAAAAAAGGGATTGATACAAAATAAAAAGTAAATCAGGAGAGAGTTAGTAAAGAACTAGACTTAACTTTAAGAAAGAAAAGGCCAGAAAAGAAGTTCAGAACAGTGCGGTTTTTTCAGTCAGGGAGCAGAAGGAATTCAACAGCTCAGGGTGAAAATGGAGTAAGCAGCTGTCTAGGACTGGTAACATATACATTTCTCTATTTTGCACACCACAAAACATTTTTTGTTGAAAATGAGACTGTTTTAGAAAAAAAAAAAGTCAAAAGCACCAAAGTCTAGAAGGAAGTTACTGGGAGCTTTGTTATGTGCTTGGTTTTGTAGAAAGTACAAAAGCTAAAAAACAAGAATGCAAAAAAGGCAAACATTGTTCTTTCTCAAGGTGTAATCTAGTTAGTGGGGTCTTAAGGCTAACAATTATCAAGTATTAACTATGAACTGAGCATTGTCTAAGTGCTTTGCCTGTATTAAGTCACTTAGTCCTTGTGGTAGGCACTATTACTGTTTTCATTTTACAGATGAGAAAATTGGGCCATGCAGAGTTTACTCCAAGGTTATAAAGCTAGTGAGTGTAATGCAGGGAATCTAGAGCCCATTCTTAACCACAACAATAAATATTCACAAAACACTGTACTAGTTAGTAAAATATCTTCCAAGTAAGATGGTATGGCAAGTAAGAGGCATAGTAAATTAATGCAATGGGTATCCAGGGGGACTAAGATCTTACTGTGAAAAATAATAGTTAAAGGAATGTTTTGTGGAAGATGTAAGAGTCAAACTCATCCTTAAAGATGGGTTAGATGCACAGAGAAAATGAGTTGCAAAGGAGGCATGATATGTGGAATACTACATGAACTAGGAATACATGTATGATCAGCCACATTTCCTAGATAAAAATCCAAGAAAATATTTCCAACCAGGTGGGTTAAACTGATAATTAAATATTTAGATCCTATGTCCTGCCTCACAACTACTCTAACTACATAATGTTTTACTATAAGTTCTCTTTTTGGATAAAACAAATATGCAATGAAACAAAGTTTTTGATTAGATGAAAAAGGAAGATGAATGTATTATATTTACAACCTATACCATTTGGGGCCCAAATAAATTTTCTCATTTAGTCTTCAAAAAAGCCTATGTGAGATTCATTTTGTATTTCATTACTGAATACAAATCAACAAATTCACTATTTGTATAAACCAAATAAAAATACATCTTTTAAGCCTAAAAAAAAAAAAGCCTATCAATTACACAATACTATTCACATCTTATAAAGGCAGAAATGGGCACAGAGAGGTTAAGTTACTGGCTGGAGGTCAATGAATGAGTGGGTGACAGGGCCACAATCTGAACCCAAGCAGTTGGATTCTAAGCCCACACTTTAATTCTATAAAGAAGATAACATATGACCCTAAAAAACTCCCCAAAACCCAAAAGCTTTACTATTCTTGTATTTGCTTACCTTGAAGACCTGCATATTTAAGAGATGACCAGTTTGGTATGTCATAACAGCCTCCACCATCCTCTTTTTCTTCAGCTTCACATCGGTAAAGTACCTGATTCAGCTCAGCCAAAGTTAATTTTGAGGCAATGCTAAGAAATGGAAAATAAAGAGAACTGGTAAATACAGTAAAATGCTGTCAATAAAGAAGAAAATCTGAATCATAACCATAAAATACCTTAACAATATATGTTTTAGTACCTCAGCACTATAATATACATTACAAACAATATGTTATAAATAATAATTAAAGGATAAAACATGCTAAAGATTCAGTTAGAAGTAACATTTCTTCCAAGCCAAGAAAAACAAATCAATTGCCAAATTTTATTACTTGGAAGTATCCTAGAAAAATATTTTGGTTGCTACAACCTTTTTCTCATAAATTTGCTTTTTTGTTTTTCTTTTTTTAAAGATTTTATTTATTTATTTGACAGAGAGAGAGACCACAAGTAGGCAGAGAGGCAGGCAGAGAGAGAGGGGGAAGCAGGCTCCCTACTGAGCAGAGAGCCCGATGTGGGGCTCGATCCCAGGACCCTGAGATCATGACCTGAACTGAAGGCAGAGGCTTAACACACTGAGCCACCCAGGCGCCCCACAAATTTGCTTTTTTAATCTTTTTTGATGGGCTTGGTTTTTTTCTCTTCTTTATATTCTTTTAAGTAGGACATCAATAACATTTTTATGCTAATTATCCTAAAATTGAAATACTTGTCAAGGACCAGCAAAGGGATAATCAAAATTCATAGTTAACTACCTTAGAAATCATGTAGTATTTCTCTCCTCTCCTAAGATGGCACTGCCCTTTAGCTGGGTTATTCAAGAAACCAAGATTTTCTTAGCTAAGGATGCTTCTTGATAATAGTCAGAAGGAGGTGTCTGTCATGGCCTTGGTTTCCCCTTGGTCCGGGTAGCAGTGAAACTGTATAACTGACCACACTTGAATACAACAAAACCTTACCTTTTTTAAAAAATAATTCTAGTCATTTCATTCTACAGAACTGGATACATATCCTCTTGAATTTTATGTGAAAATATAACCTCTTAAATGTACTTCCTTCTTTCTCTTTTAGTTCTGTCTCAACTGAGAAAATTATGGTTGGCTGGGCTTTGTTCCCTGTTTCTGCCAGACTCTGTCCTCATAGTTGGGACAGACTCTTCCTTCCTCCACTATTTGTGAGTCAAGTTTGATCAAATCAATCAGCAGTCTCAGTACCAACTCCATTCTAGGCAAATGCTTTCTGACACATAGCCAGTGAACTTGCATACGAATTACCTGGGGAGCTTATTAAGATACAGATTTCTTGGCCTTACCCCGATAATCTGAGTAGGTCTGAGGATGAATATGCATTTTATAAGCATGCCACAGAAACACAAAACAGCTTCATCACAGATATTTTAATTTTCATTTCAATGCATTTTATTTTTTTGAAGATTTTATTTATTGATTTGACGGAGAGAGACACAGCAAGAGAGGGAACACAAGCAGGGGGAGTGGGAGTGGGAGAAGTAGACTCCCTCCTGAGCAGGACCTGATGTGGGGCTTGATCCCAGGACCCTGGGATCAGGGCTTGAGCCAAAGGCAGACGCTTAATGACTGAGCCACCCAGGTGCCCCACCACAGATATTTTTAGAATGCAAATACTTTTCTAATAGTTTGAGTTGAGCAGATCTCCTTAATGATAAAAGCTCTTATGAAAACAAAAAGTTGAACACAATCAAAAAAATGGGTTAGTACATAAAATGCTATTTCACTGGTTAAATACACAGCCAATGAACAACAAAAAATTTAGCTCGGGGCACCTGGCTGGCTCAGTGGGAAGAACATGTGACTCTTGACTTCAGAGTCATGAGTTTAGGTCCCATGTTGGGTGTGGAGCTTACTTCAAAAAGTTAAATATTTTAGGGACGCCTGGGTGGCTCAGTTGGTTAAGCGGCTGCCTTCAGCTCAGGTCATGATCCCAGCATCTTGGGGCTCCTTGCTCTGCAGGGATCCTGCTTCTCCCTCTGACACTTTGTCTGCCTGTGCTCTCTCTCTCTCTGACAAATAAATAAATAAAATCTTTAAAAAAAAAAAAAGTTAAATATTTTAAAAAATGATGTGGAAGGAATATGGTGTATGCAACTTAGCCTCAGGTAGTTCAAAAAAATTGTGTGCACGTGTGTGTGTATAGAGATGCATGTGTGTGTGTGTGTGTGTGTTTGCTCGTATCTATAGCTACATATAGAGAGTGCATGAGTGTGAGAGTGCACATGCAAGCACACATACAAATGATAAAGCAACAGGACATGTGAACAACAGATGATGCTATATGACTACTGGTTCTTGGACCACTGTCTGAGTAGCATGGACATAGAGGACCCTTGAAACTGCTTAAATCAGACTTGCAGTAACTTACCAGTTATTAAAGTGGCAAATCTCCATAAACTAAGGTGTACTTACAAAGCAAAAGGAGTTTTTAATATAGGATCTGAGTTGTCAACAGCAAGGCTCCCAGATTTAAAGTGAGGACTGAACTGAGTCAGATGATTTCGAAGAATTCCAACAGCAACTTGTGCATGTGGATCAAGACTAACTCTGAAAACGTTTATTTAAAAAATGGTTACTTTTTAGGAATCACTTATTCAAAATTAACAGAATATGTCATCTATTTTACAAGCAAAGTCAACAGTTTGAACTCCAACATACCTGAATATAATAACACTTCCTGGAGACAAATTTTCAAATTCTATTTCTTGAATATATTCATTGGGTCCTTTTGTGGCAACTCCAGCTTGTTTAACAATTTTACTTTCACTAAGCTTGAAAAAAATTGTAAAAAACTATTCAATCAATAATTCTAATGTCCTTAAGTTGTTAAACATGGTAGTAAGATGAGAGTCCCAAATACCTGAATATGTTCTCTAATTTCTACTGTGATGTTTGGCATTCCATTGATCGCATGCTCATCCTTCTGATAAGGTTTTGTATTTCTCTCAACAGTTCTGGCTTCAAGAACTACTTCTTCAATTTTGCCTATGAATAAATAAAAATATTAATGAAATTTCATATTAAACCATCTGGAATTAGGAAGTGCTAATTCAATTTAATTCATTAAACTTAGAGTTGAATATGAAATAGCAGTCTGAGAGTAGATCATTCTACTCAAGATGCATTTTTCACTCAATGCTTTGTTTTTAAAATTATAAATTAACAAAGACCTATCTGAAAAAAGATCTTATCAAGTAATAATGGCTTAGCTCTTGGGAACGATATATAACCTTCCTAATTTTGAGCAGAGAGTAAATAAATCCCTTGAAAAATTTATTTAAAAAAATGAAAAATACATTTTTCATAGAAATACAAAAAGTAGGGAAAAATTTTAAAAAGCCAGATCCTACTTCCTAGCTGAAGAAAACATTACAAATGTGTACCCTTTCTTTCCCTTCAGAGGTAACTGTCACCTGCAATTTGGCATTCCTAAATCCTGTGTATTTTACTACATATATCTGTTTCCCAAAACAACATATATTATTTTCCATATTTCCAACCTTTATTAGAGTAGATCCAAATTATATATATATATATTTCTGCAACTTGCTTTCTATTAAACAACACTATTTTTTAGATTTGTTCACATTGCTACATAAGCTGCAGCTCATGCTGCAGCTCATTTGTTTCAAATGCCAAAGAGTATTCCATTTTGTGAATACACCAAATATATTCTTGTTTGCCTGTCTTCTAATGGAACATATGAGAGTTTTTCAGAGATATACCTAGGAGTAGAACTGCTGAGTCAAAGGATATGTAAAACTTGAATTTCACTATTTAAGTAATTTGAGCCATTAATCTGACAATAAGTAACAGTACCTTTTGATCTAGAAATTCTACTTCTCGAAATAATTACTAAGAAATTATTCAAAAGAAAAAATATTCCTAGTGTATATTCACTGTTAAACATACTAAAGAATATTAAAGATGGAATACTAATATAATAAGACATGAAATATTTAACATAATGAAAATCACAATTTTGTTACAAAATGGAAATGTTTTAATGAAGACCAACAACCAAAACAAAACCCAAGATAATATTGTTCACACTGATGGCAACCATGTGAAACTGTACACGTACATTAGCAATAATCAGACAAGATTACTGACTATACACTTGCAAGCAGTTAAAAATAACTAATGAACATTTAACCCTAAAACTATTCAAGTTGAGGGGCGCCTGGGTGGCTCAGTGGGTTAAAGCCTCTACCTTCGGCTCAGGTCATGGTCTCAGGGTCCTGGGATTGAGCCGCATTGGGCTCTCTGCTCAGCAGGGAGCCTGCTTCCTCCTCTCTCTCTGCCTTCCTCTCTGCCTACTTGTAGTCTCTGTCTGTCAAATAAATAAAATCTTAAAAAAAAAACAAACCCAATTATTCAAGTTGATAATCTTTAAAAACTGGAGTTTATATATTTAATAACTAGCAACCAATATAGAATATGATGATTTTTATGGGAATCTTCATCCCCTCAATTAATTGCCAGACTTGGACAGTTGCTATATGCACAGGAGAACGTTTTGCTATAAAATATAACAGTAAGGAAGAAATAAAATACACACATCTAGAAAAAAAATCTAGCAATAATAAGGATATGATTTAGGGGTATGTTTTTATTTATTTATTTAAAGATTTTATTTATTTATTTGAGACAGAGACAGAGATAATGAGAGAGAGCAGAGAGGGAGCACAAGCAAGGAGGAGAGGGAGAAGCAGACTCCCCACTGAGCTGGAAGCCTGATGCGGGGCTTCCCAGGACCATGGGAAATTAATTTGGGGTAACTTACATTTTTACTACATGGACAATACCTGTTATGGAAATATTCTCAAATATTAACATTTTCTGAGTTGTGAAATAGCTTTATTTTCCTCTTAATTTATTCCCTATTTCTCATTTTGTATAAAACAAACATGTATTTCCTTTATACCCAGGAAATATTCATGTGTTTATATATATGTATATGTATGTATATTTATAGTGTGTCTAACTGTGTACTTGTGTATGAGCATGTACACACACACACACACACACACACGCACACATATAGACCAAAGTGGAAAATAGTTTAATATTTAAGGCTTTTCATAATCCATCTTCAATTACCTTCCTAGCCCTCTGTCACTCCACTATTTTAAACAAATAGATATTTTCACTAGTCCCCAGATAGTCTTACTAACACCTATTAATATGAATTTTCTTTTTTACATCTTTCAAAAACTAAAGTTCCACCTCCCTTGAGAAGCCTTTTCTAAATACTCAGTGATTTCTCTCTTTTGTGAACATATAGCAATTATAGTCTCTCCATATCTCTTCTTTGACAATTATAAAACACATCCCAGGGTGCCTGGCTGGCTCAGTTGCTTGAGTGTCTGCCTTCAGCTCAGGTTGTGATCCCAGTCTTAATTTCTTTCTTTCTTTAAAGTACACTCTATAACCAACATGGGGCTTGAACTCATGACCCCAAGATCAAGAGTCACATGCTCTACCAACTGAGCCAGCTGGGTGCCCCAAGTTATGCAAAATTTTGAACTCTTTTTCTCAACTACAACCACACCAGTACTGTGTTATAATCATAGTAACATTTTTAGGTTGCATTACCAGGGATGCACATTTGAGGCACTTCTTTGCTGTAAAATGAAGTCTTAGGATTCCTGAAAGCAGTTCTAGACACAGATACAACAGACTGATGAATGCTGGGTGAATGTCTTGTTACTGCCACTATGTCTTCATCAACCTGATCCACATATACCTGAGAAACAGAAAGAGAAAACATGTTAGTGTTCAAACTGGAAAAACTTACTCTGAAACTGAACCTTAAGAAACTTACAAAAAGTTAGTTTCTTGCCTGAATGAAACCCTTGGCCCCAAGCTCTTGATGAAGTTTATTGATAGCACATCTGGCTGCAATAATTCCACTTTGGAAACTAACTTCACCTTTATCTGATGGAGATGCTCCAGGATTCCACTTCGTATAAAATCGTTCTTCAGAAACCACTGAAATCTGAACAAAGTTAAAACTCAGCCATGTGTACATTTTAATTATAATAAGATCTTTTAGTAAAAATGCTCAAAGTTGTTGGCCATGTGGATTTAAAAAAAAACACCACCAAGACATACCTGATGAGGCACTAATTCATCATAGCCTTTAGTACTTCCACTAGCACAACACGCCATGGAAACAATCGTGGTACTTGGCAGAGCATCATATTCTGACCTATGCTAGAAAACAATAAAATAAAAACACCAGGGTTTATTTTCTTTCAAATGCAAAGTGCCATCCTATTGCATAATGAAGTAAAGGACAGTTACATAGTTATATACTGTAAGATATTAATTGGCTTTATTTTATTATTTTTTGACATTAATTTGCTTTAGAATTTAACAAAACATTCAAACACTATGTACCACAATCACGTATAAATCTAAGACATGATTCTGGAGCATGTGGATATTGCCACTAAATATCAGATCAAAAAATTTATTTTTTTCAAGTTTTATTTAAATTCCAGTCAGTTAACATAGAGCATAATATTAGTTTCCGGTATAGAACTGAGTGATTCATCACTTACATACCACACCTAGTGCTCACAAGTGCCCTCCTTAATCCGCCTCACTCATTTAGCCCATCCCCTGCCCTCCTCCCCTCCAGCAACCCTCAGTTTGTTCTCTTTAGTTGAGTCTGTTTTAATTGTTTTTTTTCTTCACTATGTTCATCTGTTATATTTCTTAAATTCCACATACGAGTTTAGCAAAATAAGTAAATACAAGAAACAGAATAGATGCTTACCACAATGGGACACTCGTTATCGTGGGTAATATCCATAAACAGGGCATGTGCAATAGCTGGCATTAACGGCCTCAAACAGGGCTGAACAAAGGATCCAACAGGTTCTCCTCCGTATCTGTAAACCAGTCTGCCCTCTTCATGGCTATTATATGCACTCATTGCCTCTGCAAAGCATTACAGAATATTTTAACTACCTTCATTATTACTGGTAAAGAAGAGGTTAGGTTTCTTATCATGACTGAGTTTCCAAAAAAAAGACCATAGAATATTATCAAAAATAAAACTGCTTTAAACATTTAAACAAATGTCTATTAGTTTAAGTGACCAAAAAGTCTTCTCTATAATTGGCCACAGAAATGGCTCATGTAGGTAAAAGGGAACATACGTTGTTTATTAGGATGTTAGCTATATAGGATCTATGGGAAAAAATCTAAGATTCGATCATCTATCCAAGCAGGAGATGAAAACTGGATTTGTATATTTTCAAAAACAAAGAGATGCTGTTGTTCATGAGTTATCAATTCATTCTACTCATCTTTCAGTTGAAGAGGAGATGTTTTACCCCAGGAAAAGTGGAAACTTTTCCTGATAAAAACAGACTGAGATAGAGAAAAGTTGGTGTAGAGTATTTAAGAGAACATTAACTATGTTGAAAATTATTAAACATTGTATATAATGCTATTAAATGCCTTTTAATCTACTTAAACAACAACTAAAGTTTTAGATGGGAAATACGCATCAACAAGCCTACCTCTTATTAGGGAACTAATGCCCAGTCTAGTAACGAAGATATTGTCCAGGTCTTCGCTTCCTGTGAACAGTTCGGCTACTACATACAAATTGGGTTGCAATTTCCTAGCAGCATCCAACATGTACTGCAAAAAGCACAGTCACAAATGTAACATAAAGAGAAAAGCAAGTGGGCGGTAGGAAAGGAGACAAGACTAGGCAGGGATTTGACATAGGAAAATGTCATGGAACAAGACAAAATGGAAATCCAAGAAGAATTTCCAAATAAATTTAATTGTGCATATGTAAGAAAACAGGAAACACAGGAACACAGGAAACAAGAAAATTTATAAAGAGATTAAAATAGTTAAAAAGGAAGATTAGATTTTGCAAAGATACAGAGACACAAAGGGGGAAAAAGGAAGAAGAAAAATGTTAGTGTCACATTAAAAAATGTAAACCATAACACTGTGATTATGCTAGGCTTTCACCCTGTTTTATGTGTGTTTGTTTTTAATACCTCCAACCGACTATTAATTTGCAGGCTTTCGACTAGGCCATTATTGGTAAATTTTCTGCTGGTGAGTCATTTAGCTATTGCAAAGATTAGGTCTAACTACACTAAAAGCCAGATTTTCCTACAAATGGTAATCAGCTCTTAATCACAAACCAAATTGGTTCCAATTCTCTTAATATAATGTTTGCACAAAGGTTAATAAAATAATTGAAATTCTGTCAGCTAACAAGTAGGGTCCTAGGAGATTTTATAACTTAAAAATTAACAAATTGAGTTTTAATTTTCTGTTTTGCCATAATGTTGCAATAATCATATATCTACCTATCTATCTATCTATCTATCTATATATATATATAGCAACAGCTATATATATATAGCTGTTTCTAAAAGCACAATAAGGAAAAACCTCTGCTAGTTTTTGGAACTAAAAAATATTCTACCACCTTAACTAATGTTCACTAAATTCTTCCATATCAAATCAATTTTTCATCATTGGACTCAAATCATATTCATTATAATACTGTATTAAAATAACAGAAATAGATATTTTCCAGTAAGTATACATTCTCAAAGAACACTAAGTTGTCATTAGGAAGCTATCAAAGATCTTATAAACAGGATGAAAATTGTGTTTATAAAGCTGTATTAGATAGAAGATACTGCTATAAATTTTGGCACTGCCTCAGTTTCTATAAAAAGCCCAAAGAGGGATAAATAACCTTTATGTTTACAATTACATTTTTATAAATAATCAATAAAGATGGAATCAATGAGGCTGAAACAAGCTTCGATATACTGTAATGTTAGTGCTTAAATAATAACATGTAACAAGTGACTTCATTGTCTATTAATATATCAAGAGCAATCAGAAAATAACAAGAATAAGATAGATAATTGCATATTATTAAAATGTTAATATTAATCCTTTAAAAGTTAATAATAAAATATTAGAAATATTTTAATAATATACATGGCGATATGGGTATGTATATATCATCAGAGACAATATAATCTATTTCCCTAAATTGAAATAAAAATATTAATGCATTAAACATTTTATAGCCCAGATATCCATAATTACTGCATCAAAAGATTTTGTTAGAATTGTGAAGTTATGCGTAAGTATTAAATACTACCACCAAATCAATGCTGGCGTCCAACTAGAAAAGAAAACACATACTTGCATATTTTATTTAAGGAAAGCAAGGAAAGAGTACTACATTTCTTTGCTTAATGCAGATGAATTGTTTTTCTGTACCTCAGCTACATGAAGAGGAGTTGAGTGGCAGTTATCAAGACGCACTCCTTGGAAGTAAGTTGCAGTTATTTCAGTGTATTTTTTCATGTGTGCCCAGAGAAAAGGACAGTCCTCTGGTTTATTCCCATAGCGTAATTTAACACTGTCTCCCCAGCAAATAAGTTCTCTCCTTAGATAAACTTCTGAGCCTGTTAAGAAAGGAGCTTGCTTTCAACAGTTCAAGAAATAACATGAAAACATTTACTTCAAGGAAACATTGTTTTTTTTAAAAATCATATTGACTAAAAAAAAAAATAAAAAATAAAAAATAAAAAAAAAATAAAAATCATATTGACTATTTCTATCACAAACCATACACTGGTTAAAATTATGTCTAAAATGGTATGGTTATTTAAATATATAAAGTTAAAAAATTAGTATTAATTTATCTCATACTGATTTTGTTAAAATTTGACCTAGAGTCCCTTCTAAAAATGTGTACTTAGTGTAAAAAAAAACAAGTTGCTTCTTTTTTTTTTTTTTTTTTTTAAAGATTTTTTTATTTGACAGAGAGAGATCACAAGTGGGCAGAGAGGCAAGCAGAGAGAGAGGAGGAAGCAGGCTCCCTGCAGAGCAGAGAGCCCGATGTGGGACTCGATCCCAGGACCCTGAGATCATGACCCGAGCTGAAGGCAGCGGCTTAACCACTGAGCCACCCAGGTGCCCCCAAGTTGCTTCTTTTAAAGAAAATCAATAATAGTAATATCACAGGCCCTTTGAAGACAGCATTCTACCAAAAACATTTCTTCTTCAAAGATTTATTTATTTATTTGAGAGAGAGATAGTCAGCATGAGCAAGAGAGGCAGAGGGAGAGAATCTCAAGCAGACTCCCTGCTGAGAGCAGAGCCTGATGTGGAGCTCAATCCCACAACCCCGAGATCAGGACCCACACTGAAGTCAATGGTTGGACACCTAACCAACTGAGCCACCGAGGTGCACCTCTACCAAAACCATTTAAAGCTGTGTTTCTACCTTGTTACTCATTTTGGCAATAGGTTACATTAAATCCACGGCATGCAGTAGAATGCCTTTTTGCATTTAGAATGACTACAAAGGAGAAGGCAGAGATACTTAAACCCAAAGTACATTCTTTAAGAAAAATGAGATTTTGAATTAGAAAAAGCCTTCTCATTCAAAAAGACTTCTAAATGTTGAAAAACATATTGATGGGTGTCCAGCAAAATTCTGTCTGGCAAAGAAACAGCTGTAGAAAAATAAAATGCTGGGAGTGAAAGGGAAACCTAAAATTAGTTTTTAGTGTAATTGCTATTCAAATGCCTTAATACCCCTCTGGCTAATGAATGAAAATATCTCTTATGGCAATATAATCGTATTAGCATGGTCTCATATGCATTTTTAAAAATGCAATAGATTAAATTTTTAACCATATAAAATCTTATTTAGAACCATAATATAAAATAGATAGATAAAAGCCATTCTGGTTGAGCATATAAAGACAGGAGGGGAAAAGGGGGGAAAGGAAAAAATGAATCCCACTCTTCCTGTCCATACCTTCTCTTCTCTCTCAAACTGTATGCACTCTGACATCTCTGTGATGAAACAGTTTAAGAACTATTACCTTGGTGGGGAAAAAATTCAATGAAACAGTTTGTATTTTGAGTTTGCTGTAAACTTTTCTCTCCCTATCCACAGAGAAGTTAACAAAAATGACATACCCGGTTCAGCAAAGTTTCGAAGGGGATCATCTCCCATTACCCATCCATTATGCACCATCAGAAAACAAGCTTTATTTGGGTTATGAATCATAGATTCTTCTGCGGAGAGGGTCATTTCTTCATATGGGAACGTAAAATACCTATGGAGATACAATTAAATATTAAATCCATACAGAGAGATTCTTTGGAGAGAATTTAAATTAGTAATATTAAAATTAAAACTCCTCCTTAACAAATAGAATAAAGATTAGTCTTACACTATAGGAAATAAACTTTTTTATAGGACAAAAATCTTCAGAAGACTTTCTGAGTAGATCTACTAAGATATGAGAAATGGGAAGTCAACATTATAGCATTATCTGGTTAACATTTTAAATAATAAATTAAAAATTTAATAAAATTACTAAGAAAATCATTGAAATATTGGTGTTACTTTTGCAAAAGCTTTTACTACACCTTAGTTGCCTAATCTGTGCTGCACATTACCTACAAGATAAGGATCTAAATGCTGGCTCAATTTGATTAACTTTGAATTTACTAGTAAGTATATAGTTCTCCAGAAACATTAATGTAATGTTTATAAACTGATTCATACTGATGATAGTTTCTTTAAGGACTGGCCTAACAAAGTTAATATTAACCCTAGTTACCAAATCAAAACTTCTATTTCAGTTAAAAAATGTACTGAAGTCACACATGGAAGGAAAACATTCAGATTAATTTAAAAAGTTAAATGCAATTTTCAATTTTTAACCTTTAATGAGAAGAAAATGAAAATAAAATACCTGGTAACTAGAGGATGTTTTCTAGTGACAGGTCCTAATTTAGGGCCATGGCCAGCCAGTCGTTCATAAAACACATTTCCCAAAAGGCAATTAACCACCTGAAACACATTAAATTATGTATCTCAGTAAAAACAGTAACAAACAGTATTAAGACTCAAAGAAAAAAACAGCAGTTCAAAGTAGGTGAAACCTGTTCCTGATGATAGTTCATGAGTTGATGCTTCTCTGAATTTAACTCCTCAATTCTCTTACGGAACCAATTACAGCATTCATCAATTGCAGCTGGGCCCTTGCTAGAGCAGAGAGAGCAATACACGCTGAATATTTAATGGTTTTAAAATTCTACATTTAAAAATTTTCTAACAAGGGTCACAGGAACTTTATTTACTTATTTGAAACTTTAAACATATTCATCAGGATCTTAACTAATGGCTGAAGAAGTTTTCCAACTGTAAAAAATATTATATACACATATAGGAACATGGTCCACTACACAGAAAAAAGAGGAAAACATCATGCATTTGAACTAGCAGAATTATGGTGAATTACTTTTTTTTATTTTCTATTCAGGATTTTAATACTAGCTGTAAAGATCTGTAGGTAATATTATCCTTTATCTCATAGGAAAAAAATTCATAACATACTCATGTGGTATGAAAGTTGCTAGTGCAATGTTCATATCTACAGTACAGCCAAGCCTTCTGTATTCAGGATCCTGAATAATCTTAAGGTGTTCCTTTGGATCAGGCTGGGTTGTTATTTTCCTATTTCCTAAAAGAAAGAAGAGATTATATCTTAAATGCAAATATCCACAGGGAGATTTTAACTGTTACTGATATTCAAATTTTTAGTATACAATATTTTTTTACAGAAAATAAAACAAATGTTTATTTATTTCACAAACATTCTTCCTACCTCCCCCCATCTTCTTGCACACCACCTAACACACACACACACACACACACACACAGACAAGTATACACATAGGGAAGGAGGGGAAGAGAGAGATTGGAAGGGAGAAGAATATTATAGAAGAAAAACACAGGGATTCCTATCACTTCAAACCCTGCCCCATTTCTCTGCCTTAGTCAGCTTTCTCTTACTACAATTTTTAGGGCATTAAGGATGTTGGTAGTACAAATTTTCCTTCTAGGTGTTACCAAATACACTAATATCAGGAGTTCCTTTTCTTCAAAGATTGCTTTCTATTCAGAAGTCAGTCTTATTAATGACTTTCTTTGCATTCTCTGAAAGAAACACACTGGCTAGTTTTTATACTTTTTTTCTTTTTTACCAATAAGCATATTCCTTATATAATAATAAAAAATGCAAATGTAAATAAATGTTTTGTGGGAAGAATTTTTATCCCTTTGCTGGAACTTGTTCCTGATAAATTAGATGTTGTGCAGGATTGCCTCCACTGGGTTTGATTTTATTAATTTTTTATTATTATTATTTTTAATGTTTCTTTTTAAATTTCAAATCAATTAATTAACATATAGTGTATTATTAGTTTCAGAGGTAGAGTTTGGTGATTCACCAGTTGTACGTTAACACCCAGTGCTCATGACTTTAAGTGCACTCCTTACCTGGGCTTGCTTTTATATTAACTAACATCTGACTTACTCTAAAGAGACCTTGAAGTAGCTTATAAAAGCACAAACAAAATAAATAAAATATAAATAGATTCTCAAGATTTAGTTTCCGAGGTTCATTTGGAAGAGTATATATATTACACCTACCAGTGGAGCACCTAGGTTGCTCAGTGGGTTAAGCGTCTGCCTTTAGCTCAGGTCATGATCCCAGGGTCCTGGGACTCAGCCCTGCACTGGGCTCCCTGGTTGGCAGGGAGTCTATCTCTCCCTTTGCCCCTCCTCCTGCTCATTTTCTCTCTCAAATAAATAAATAAAATCATTTAAAAAAGCAAAGAAAAAGGAAAAAAAAAACTGCCAGGAAGTGTTTGAAAAAAAAGAGAAGCTTATACAATCAGTGTAAGGGATAAAACAGTCTTTAGTATTGATAGACTGGAATAGTACACATAACAAATCCACATACATTTAGTATATGACTACACTATGAAGTCTTTATGGTGTACCACAAATCAGTATAAAAGGATGGATTATCAACAATGCCATTTTTTGAATAAAAATATTTATATAATACACAAAAATAAATTCTAGGTGTGTTGAACATTTCTTTATTTATTTTTAAAGATTTATTTATTTGAGAGAGAAAGTGTGTGTTTGTGGTAGGGAGGTGCAGATGGAGAGGGAGAGAGAGAATCCTCAAGCAGACTCCCTGCTGAGTGTTGAGCCCGATGCTGGGCTTGATCCCATGACCCTGAGATCACGACATGAGCCAAAATCAAGAGTCAGATGCTTAACTGACTGAGCTACCCAGGTACCCCTTGAACACTTAAATATAAAAAATAAATAAGTAAGATTATTAGAAGACAGAATTTTTTTAAGAAAACAGAATGTTGATGGAAGATTTTTTGTAAGCGTGATGTGAAATTAGAAGCTATAAAAGACTAACATTTTTGAGTATGCTGAAAAAAAAAAACATAATCAAGAATTAAAAGATCAACAGTGGGGCACCTGGGTGGCTCAGTGGGTTAAAGCCTCTGCCTTTGGCTCAGGTCATGATCCCAGGGTCCTGGGATCGAGCCCCACATCGGGCTCTCTGCTCTGTGGGGAGCCTGCTTCCCCCTCTCTCTCTCTGCCTGCCTCTCTGCCTACTTCTGATCTCTGTCAAATTAATAAATAAAATCTTTAAAAAAAATAAAAATAAAAGATCAACATCATATTAGAAGGACATATTTGAGGCCAGCATAACAAGGAATTACTAATATAATAGTCAATGTGAAAAAGTCAAGCAGCCCAATAAAAAATAGGGAAATAGGGAAAGAACATTAATAGACAATTAACTAAAGATCTATAAGTGGCGCAACACGTGAAAATGTAATTCACTAATGAGCAAAGAACTACAAATTAAAATAATGTTTTGCCTGATTGACAAATGTTATAAAGATTAATGGTGTCTAATGCTAATGAGGGTATAGTAAATGACAATGTAAACTGGTACAACTCATTTTGAAAAGCAACTGGACAATACTTCGTGTAAATTTATCATTAAATTTGTATACTCTTTGACCGGGAAATTCTACATCTAACAATTTATCTTAATTTATGCTGCAGATTTATTCACCTAAGTAAAGATAACACATATAAGGATATATAGGAAGATATATCCTTATAAGGATAACACATATAAGGATATATATAATACAGTTTATAAGGATATAACTTCTACAAAAGTAAGGGCTTGCTATGTTCACCACTGAATCCCCATGCCTGGAAGACTGCCTAATATGTACTAGGTGGTTCAAAAGGTATGTATTGAATGAATGAAAGAATGAATGATGAAAAAAACTGGAAATAATCTATCAAGAGGGCTAAAGAGAGATGCCTGATTGGCTTGGTTAGTAGAGCATGTGTCAGGGTTGTGAGTTTGGGCCCCACCCTGGGTGCATGGATTATTTAAAAATAAAATCTTAAAAATAAAAAAAAAAAGGTTAAGGGCACCTGGGTGGCTCAGTCAGTTGAGCGTCCGACTATTGCTTTCGGCTTGGGTCATGATCTCTGGGTCATGGAATCAAGCCCCACATCATGCTCTATATTAAACAGGAAGTCTGCTTGACATTCTCTCTCTCCCCCTTTCCCTTTCCCTCTGCCTCTCCCCCTGCCCCAATGCTCCCCATCTCTCTCTATTTTCTTAAAGAAAATAAAAACAGTGTATTGCTTTCTAGAGGTTAAAAACTGCCTTTGGCAGCTGTAGTAATCTGCTCACTTACCTTGCACCATGCACTTAACAAACATATATTGAGCTCTACTATATTCTGAGTATTGTGCTAAGGAACCAATAGTAAGAAACAGTCCCCGAGAGAAATAATTATGTATTATTATGACATGCCCTTTAGATATCTCGGCTAACTCTCAGATAGCTTCCAAGACTACAGTTTATAATAACACAAATATATAATAATAACAGATTTAATAATGTCTTAGCCAGAGAAAAGAAGGGTTATCCCTTTAAGAGTAATAATAAATTTCTTAAAATTGCTAGAAACATTCTAATGTATATCCTTTACCTTGTGTAAGAAGTCCTCTAAATTGCTCAACTGCTTTGTAAACATCTACTTGGAAAAATTCCCAGAGCTGAGTCTTTGGAAAAATATCTTCCCAAATTACTTTTCGAATGCACTGAAAAATTTCAATAGTTAAAAAAAGATATATTTAAAATATTTCCACTAAATATTATTTTTCAAATTAAATATAAACTCTAAATAATTTTCAACCATACATTTACTTTGTATTTTAGAAATTTTGTTATTCTGTTTTAGTGTGGTACTCCTCTATACATACTGACATTCATTTGATGATCATTTTCAATCAAAGCCGGTACTCCTTTTTCTTTGTATTTCCCTTCTGCAACGTCACAGGATAAATGCCACAGTGCTCTGTCTAAGACCCAGGCAGGCTTTAAGTGTGGAGAATTTACAAGATTATATGCACATTCTGGATGTTCTTGGATCCATCTACTATTAGCAGCTTAAATAAAAAGGAAAAATAAAGGAATATCTTGTAATTAAAGTGAAGTTAGTATCTATATTAAGTTTAAAGATGAAATAAAATATTAACATCCACCACTCATTGTCTTATATATTAGACAATATTTAAATGTCATAGTATATTATAGAAACTATATATTACATTTCTTCATCAAATATTTAATATTCGTTTAAATTGTTACTATAATTTATGATATTGTAATGTGAAAAACACTTTTTTGGTTGTGGTATCCTGTCATCCACTTCACCATACCTTTTTCCGTTCTGTTGTAGGAATTTTTAATTGTTGTAAGATGCAATTCTGACTTATTAACACTCCTGTAAGAACAAGTTTATTATTGTGGGAGTTAAGAATGGCCTTGTCCTTGGCCCATTTTGATGGTCCTTGAGTCAACTACATTTTGGAACATTCCTTCTAAGCCTGAAAAACATCTTTCCCTAAAAGCCAGACTAAGGCTTCTGCCCCAATCTTCAGAACTCCAAATGTCATTTACACATTTTTTCCTACGTAATCATTTCTTCCTGTATTTTTGGGGCGGGGAGGAAGGTGAGGTTCTTTCCTCTGGATCTTTAAATACCATTATATCTCCCTAAGGCTAAGAATACAAACAAATATACATCCCATTGAAACACAGTTATTTCTCTTCCTTCTATAGTCTGTTAGTTTCAAGACCAAATGTCTAGAAAATCCAACCTGTATCTGCGGTTTCCATTTTCTCCCCACAGTCTTGTTCCTTTTCCACTGCAATCTGCTGCTGCATCCAGCACTCCACTGAGGTTACTCTAATCATGAGATTTAGTGCGACTTTCTCAACTTTATCCATTTAACCTCTATCACATTTGCCATTACTGATTACTCCCTCACTGATGTATAAAATACTTCTTCCTTGATGTACAAAAGGTATCATTATCTTGGTGGGTTTTTTATTTTTCCTTCTCTCTTTTGGTCCTTCCTTTCTCATTTCCGCTAAAACTTTGAGGAAGGTTTGGTACATCTTAGTCTTTCTCTTTCTTTGAACATGTCCGTTTTCATCTCACCGCCTCTTCTAGTACCCACATCTCAAACCAGTTCCAGCTCCAACAAGGCCCAGGCACATCTACCCAAGCATTTGATGGGTAGCACTGCCTGAGGACACTATATTAACTCGAAATCCATTCACATGTTTACATATATCTACACTCAGAATGTGATCTATTCCAGGCACTGTTCTGGGAGATGGATATTCTGTAGCAAAAGTGAACAAGGCTCCTGTCTTCATGGAGCTTTTTCATTCTAGAGAGGTGAGTTGGTTGGCTTTGTTTTGTTGTGCTTAGACAATTCTGATGGAAGAAAACTCTCTCACAGGCAACTTCTTTGTATAGCTAAATTTGAATGGTTAATGAGATACATTGTTTTAGTAAGACTGATAAAAGTGAGGCCAAGAAATTGCTCTGTTTCTTTTAAAAGGGTGTAGCTTACATCTTATCCATTTATATCAGTAAGTTCAGAATCAGAATCAGAGGAGTTCTGCAAGGTATTCCAACTATTTACAATATTAAAGAATATTTGTTTTAATTTTTAAATAAACAAAAGTTATACATATTCTGTTTCATCTTTAAAATAGAATAATGGGGGCGCCTGGGTGGCTCAGTCATTAAGCGTCTGCCGTAGGCTCAGGTCATGATCCCAGGGTCCTGGGATTAAGCCCCACATGGGGCTCCCTGCTCAGCGGGAAGCCTGCCTTTCCTCTCCCACTCCCCCTGCTTGTGTTCCTGTTCTTGCTGTCTCTCACTCTCTGTCAAATAAATAAATAAAATCTTAAGACAAATAATAAAATAGAATAGAATAATGCCCCTGAATTCATATTGAGGAGCATGAGTGGTTAATGTACATGAAACAAAAAGTAATAACAACTATCGAATACCTACCATATGCCAGGTAAATATACTACTTTATCAATCCTCATGTCCTACCACATGATGTAGGACTTACTGTTATGTTCCTTTAACAGATGAGGAACTGAAGCACAGAGGGATAAGTAACTCAGCCAAAGTCATATAGCTAGGAATGAATTTAGGAAAGTTTCTTCAGAAAGTTTCTTCAGATTCATCTGCAATCTTAACCAGATGAATGTGTTCATGCCTCAGTCAGCTGAGCACCATTACAAAGCTTATAGAGTTTAAAAATCATTATTATTTTTAGTTTCATTTAGTAAGTAATATAGTACATAAGTTATTTTTTATTATTTATTTATATCCATAATAAACACTTGAAGACAGGATATATAAGAAACAGAGATGTTGTAATAACAGTTAAATTAATAATTCTCAAAAATCAATTTAAGCTGGTTTTTCCTAGATTCATCATCAGTTATTAGAATTCAAGATGTAAGAGAAAAATGTAATGATAATTATATTGTTTGGATTTTCATTTATTAAGAACACTAAAGCTATCCTAATTTTTAAATGGTAAAATCCTGAAACTTTGTTACTTATTTTTTTGAAAGAACATCAAGTATAAAATGAAGGAATTCTAAACCTTAGCTAACAAAGTATTATTTCTAATTCTGCAATAAAGAGAAGCCAACCCAAACTATATCTTAATATACACCAAAATTAAAAATGAAACACAGATTTCTAAAGTGGTGCTGTGAGGAACTCAGCAGACATTCTCCCCAGCACAACCACAATTTAAATAGCAAAAATTTTAAATATAATCATTTAAAGTATCTGGAAATTGTCTTAAGGGCATTCAGCATATGGAGAAACACTTCAAGAAAATCTACTAACTTCCAGCAAGAAAGCAAGAAAGCAGCGGCACAGGTGTTCTGCTCAGGGAGAAAGGCCATGAAGATGAAGGGCTCTGCCTGAAAGGAGTGAATTTGTTTGGAAGAGTGAGTGAAGAACTCCGTGCATAAGGGCATTACTGAAAATTATGAAGACCTTGGTGGGGAGCAGTTGAAAGAATGCTGGTAGCTCCATGATATAAGAAAAACATCAGAGCAAATAAACAAATTTAACAGCACTAGGGAAAGAGAAAGCAGAGGACAGCTCTCCTGGGGCTGCATCCACTCAGAAGCAATTCTAATAGGACATGGGAAAGACTTGAAAAACATTCCTCATATCCTATACAGACACATCATCAGAGAACAACTCACTAGCAAAGGGGCTTAAAGACAACCTCTACCCAAACATTAAATGAACACTAACCTACAGTGACCCAGGGTGAATCCTAGGAAGCCAGGCTTAAAAATAAAATCACATTTACTTCTGGCAGTCTGGAAGACCATATGTATACCCAAGGCTGTGTGATCTCCAGAACAACCAGAGAGCGAACCTCCAGGGTTCTGGTCCTTGGTAAATCTTTATCCATCCTTTTACTGTGAACCTATTGGTATCTTTGAATGTAGAGTGTGTTGCCTGTAGACAGCATATAGTTGGCTCTTGTTTTTCCAATTAACTCTGACAGCCTCTGCCCTTCAAGACACAGGCACATCTTGGAGATATTGTGGATTTGGATCCAGACCATTGCAATAAAATGAAAATTGCAATAAAGCAAGCCAAACAATTTTTTTGGTTTCCCGGTGTATATAAAAGTTATGTTGATATTATACTGTAGTCTATTAAGTATGCAATAGCATTATATCTAAAAAACAATGTATATACCTTAAATAAAAAATACTTTAATGTTTAAAAGTGCTGTTATCTGAGCTTTCAGCAAGTCATAACCACAAATCCCTGACCACCATAACAAATATAATGATGAAAAGTCTGAATGATGAAAAGTTTGGCAAAAGTTACCAAAATGTGACACAGAGACATGAGGTCATGAGGTCAGCAAATGCTGTTGGAAAATGGCATCATTAGACTTGTTTGATGCAGGTTGCCACAAACCCTCAATTTGTTAAAAAAAAAAAAAATCAAGCAGTAACTGAGAAGTGCAAAAAAAATGAAGCACAATCAAACAAGGTATGCATTACTTTACAAATTCCCTGGATCTTTGGCTTACTAATTTTTTATTATGCTGAGTGAGGCTATCTTTGTTAAGTTACTTAAAATACACTGAGCTTTAGAACACGTAGATTTTTTTTTTAATCAAATTTTAAAGGTTGGGAAGTTTTTAGCCATTACTTCTTCAAGTGTTTTTTCTGTTCTTTCCTCTCCTCTCCTTCAGATATTTCCATGATGCATGTTGGTATGCTTCAAGGTGTCCCACCTTTCATTGGAACTCTATTCATTTTTATCTTCTTTCTTCTGCTCTTCAAAATGTATAATCTCTGTTCACTGATCCTTTATTCTGTCAACTCAAATATACTGCTGAATACCTCTAGTGAATTTTTAATTTTGGTTATTTACTTTTCAACTCTAGAATTCTCATTTGGTTATTTTTTAAGATTTCCATTTACTGATACTCTCTGTTTGAGGAGATAGAATGATCATATCCTCCCCTTTACTGCTATAACCTGTTTTCTTTTAATTCTTTAAATATATTTATAACAGTTGCTTTGAAGTCTATATTGGCTAAGTATGACATCTAGGACTTATTAAAGGCAATTTCTGTCACCTGCTTTTTTCTTGTGTATATGGGTCACACTTGCTCTTTCTTTGCATTTCTCAATTTTTTGTTGCAAATTGGGCAATTTAGATAGCATACTGTAGCAACTCTGGATATTGAGCCCATTCCTTCCAGGAATTGGAAGGAATTGGCTGCCTGTTTGTAACTTGGTTAGACTGTTTCAGTGAAGTCTATTTCCCCTACAGTGTGCAGCCACTGATGTTGCCACTCAGAACGCAGCTGGGGCCAAGGGCAGTCAGCCTGGGATGACAGTGGTTTTTAGCACGGTTGTCTTAACTGTCTCTTTGCCTGAACTTTGTTAAGCTGCTTGCCTCTGCTGGAATCACACTTAGCTGTTACACTTTTGTGCTATTATTTTTGATAATAGGCTGGAGCATAAATTGCTCCACAATCTTATCCAATTAAATTTGGACCCTTTGGCAGGGATAATCCCTGAGGCCAGTCTTTTGAGATTTGTCTGACCCCAGGAAGGCTGTTCTCAGCTGTCTCTTTCCCTGGTTCTTTTGGTTAAACTACTGGCTGGCCTATGATTTAGTATGTTGCTCTCACGGTGATACCAGCCTCCCCTTGTTTACCACCGAAGTCTCCACTATTTCCAAAAGTGTCCCATGACAGGTACCAAATAACATCAATTTCATTCTTAGTCTGTTCTTACTGCACATCTCCTCCTCTGGGCAGAATGTTTATGTAGCTGCTCTATAGCTGGTGGCAGGGACTGAAGCCCATGGATGGAACCTCCATCCCATGAGCAAGCTGAGGCAAGGGCGACTAGGGCCCAGTATTCTTGCCCTGCCATGCACGGGGTAAAGATTTTCCCTTCTGAGTGGAGTGGGGTTGGATGAAGGAAGGGAGCCCAAGACCTCTCAGCTGTTCTTGCCCAGAATAGAGTTTATGCAACAGAGTGCTGGAGTTGGGAGGGGCATGAGAAATGCTGGAAGCCTGCCCATTTCAACTGTAGCCCTATGCTGGGAGTTGAAGAGAAAAGGAGCCTTGTGTTCCCAGCTGTACCTCTCAGGAGCAGACCTATCATCATTCTGAGCTGGGGCAGGGAGAAGCAGGTCCTGGTTCAAATGTCACAGACTAGGGCACCTGGGTGGCTCAGCTGGTTGAGTGACTGCCTTTGGCTCAGGTCACGATTCCAGACTTCCAGGATCGAGTCCCGCATCGGGCTCCCAGCTCCTTGGGGAGCTTCTCCCTCTGACCTTCTCCTCTCTCATGCTCTCTCTCACTCATTCTCTCTCAAATAAATAAATAAAATCTTAAAAAAAAATGTCATGGACTATCACTGCTCTTACTGAGAGTTAGTAGATTTTCTTATATGCTTCTCCACATGCTGAATCCCGTTAGAACAATTTCCAAAGACTTTAAACAGTTTTTTAAAAAATAATTTTTATCAGTTGTTTTGCTGGGTAGAGGGTCTGTGAAGCCCTCACATTGCCAATCTGGAAGTTGACTCCCCCGGATAAAACTTTACAATAAAAACCTGTTTTCACAGAAATGACATTATGATTTGTAACACTTTCCAATTTAAGGCTGAAGCAAAGTTCACTTTTTTATATTACACAGACTCTCTCAAATGCCTTAGAAATACAGTCTCCGATACAGACTGCTACTGTACCCCAATTTTTTTCTCCCCTTGTTTCTTTAGTAACAGAATTCCCAAAGTTCAGCTGTGTGTGTATGTGTGTGCATATATATATATATCATATATGATACATATATATTAATATAATATATATATATCAGATAATGCCCTTAAAAGGTATGACTTCTCTTCCTCATTTCCATTGGTTGAGGGTGATATCGGGAACTGAACGGCCATATTTGATTAAGAGTTGGAAGCAAAGTGTTGGAGATAGAGCAATGTGAGAGAAAGAACCTCGTTCCCTATTACCATTGAGCTACTATATCAGTCTTGGGATGCCTAGCTCATTTTTTATAAGAAATAAATACAGTTTCCGTCTTATATCAGTATATTTTTGTCTCTTTGTTAAAGCTGCCTATGCCATATCCTAACTACATATAATGCCATTATGTAGCTTGCTAAGAATAATATTATAGATGTTAAACTAATTATCAAAATGTCAACCTTTCAAGTGAAGAACACTGAGTTCTTACATATTAGGAAGTTTTCATTGGGGCATTGAGAGAAGATAATATTTGCAAGGCATGATGGGTTAAACTGAAAGCTGATCATGGCCAGAGGCTTCTCCAGGCCCAGTTGTTCTGACAGGTTATTGGACCAATCATCTCCCTGAGGATCACCAGTTGGGAGGCTCTGATACATTTTATAGAACTGTATATTGGTAAAGAATCTTGGGATCCAAATGAGTTAACTTTAATAAGCCCTTTTAGCATGTAAGGGGTATAATTTTTAGATTTAACTTCTAAGAGTTTACCAATAACTTTCTGTTTGAATAACAGTCATTCAGTTTTTTCAAATATATACGATAGTACCAGAGCTGTTGTTATATGGGATTCACATGTTGGTCTGCAAAGTATTAATACTGCAAGTTGAAATATGTGATCCTATGTCTCTTCTACGATCACTCTCTTATTCTTTAATTATCACATTGAAAATCCATGCTGACTTTATCTTCAGTAACACTGTTTTCTTTGAAAGAAAAAAAGTGGTACTACATAAAGTGATTTTTTAATTGAAGGACACCTGCGCATCATTTGTGTTTTCAAAATTTATGTTATATAAAACCATAAGAAATAAAATAACCAGACTATAATATTTCCATCAAAATTAATGGAAGTAGTTAATGAAGCTCATACCAGTATGGTTGTAGACAACATCAGTAATACAAAGAATATTCCATTCCTTTTTCAATTTTTCCACTAGTTGTCCAACATCATTCCAGGTATACTTTTTATTAGGTCTTGAAAAGTCAGGATTTAATTCTAACTGGTTGGCAAGGGAGTAGCATGATCTAGATAGTCCAAGAGTCTGTAATGGGGTAAAATGAATCATGTTGTAACCTGCAACACAAGAAAATAAACAAAGACCACTGTAAGAAAAAAAAAAAAAAGACAAACTAAAACTAAGCAATATATAAGTTTAAACTTCCTTACGTAATTCTACCTAGCAAGGCAATCATGAAACTAGAAAAGGAGTCAAAGACTAGGGTTCAAATCCTACCTGTACCCCAAGTGACTTCAAGCAAGTCTACTTAAATCTTTCAGAATACCAGTGTCCTCATATATAAGACAAAGATAGTGAGAAAATGCATTTGAAAAAAATCATGGTACACAGTGCCTACTTATTATTAGGGGTTCGATTTATATTTGTTGGATGTATATATAATACATGTAGAAAATATATTTTATATAAGTATATCAGCATGTCTTGCTCCTACTTTTAATCCTCCACTGTACTTGTGTTCTGTTTCAATTATGTCAGTGAATGTATCTCTTTCCTCATATTATATTCAACTTGAAAGTAGAAAATTAATATTACCCTTTGCATATACCCTTTGTATATGGGGTAGCACATACCTTCTATATGGAAGATAGTTACTCAATGTTGAATTAAAGTTATATACAATAATAATACATTTTCCAAAACATTTTAATAATTTACTACTAATTTTTATATGTCAAAGTAAAGTCTTATAGACAATAATGATCTCATTTTATTATTAGAGCTCCTTAGTTTACTGAGTTGAACCATATAATGTACTATTTTTGTAGGTTAAAAGTGGTTGTCTTAAGAACTTTATATGATTCTATTTACATTACTAAATAAACTAAGAAACAAAATTAAAAGGAGAATCAAAGCTTTTGAAATCTGTATCACAGAGGATAATTATATCTATTTTAAAAAAGAAAAGAAAGATAGCTGACATTACCTGATTCTTTTGCAACCCTAAGTCTGCTTTCCCATTCATCAAAAGGTCCCAGACATTTGGCTAAAAATGTCTGGAGCGTAACACAGTCCAAGGGTAACACATGATTATCAGCACCAACATGTAAAACAGGATCCACAACTATGTAACCGCCACCACTTTTCTCATTTCTAAAGAGAAAACAAAACAAAAACTTCTCAATTAATGATAGAAAAAAAAATCCTCATCTGATAGTCTTATTTTTCTAATGAGAAGTGGAATTGTCCCATTTAAAAATATATTTCTAAGAACATAAAATCATTTACAAAGTTGCAATGAAACTCAATGGAAAAGCCTCATTTTATCTTCTAATCTCTACATAATAATATAATACATATAACATCTAATAATGCTCTTTAAGGAAAAATAAGTGTACTAAAATCTGTCAGTAATATCAACAGCACTCAAGCAAATAGCATCATATAATGAAGTTATATGAAAAGACTAGAATATTCAAGTGTTTACTTAAAAAAAAATACTCTGAATCTGCAATAAGTCTTATAATTACTTCCTAGGAATCAAAAAATCATATTCTACTTGCATCTCAAAAAATCCTGTAAAAATTGCACTGCCATGGTTTATATAGTAACTTTTTACAAGCTGGATAATTTAATTAGGTAAAATAAATTAACTTTTATCCCACATTCCCCACATTAACTTTTATACCCACATACAGAACACCTGACTTACCCTTGAAGAAAGTAATACTGAAATGATCCAGCTTGCTGAAGATTAAGTTTACAGTATTTATCAGAATCATCTTCTCTCTCTGTTGGATTTTCCCATTCCAGGGAACGGAATTTTTCTCGATTAAATGCTTCTCCAGGAAATGGGTAATTTGTATACACAGTAACTGCTTTTCCCTGTAAAGTGGGGCCTAATCGGAACTGTAGTTCGAACCCTAAACAAAAAGCACATTTCAATAAACTCGTTGTAGGAACTTAAATTACCACATTAAAAAAACAGATGTTTTATTTAAAGTATTACATAAACTGATTTCTCAACTATGTTTAAATAACTCCTAGGGACGCCTGTGTGGCTCCTTCACTTAAGTATCTGCCTTTGGCTCAGGTCGTGATCCTGGGGTCCTGGGATAGGGTTTCGAATTGGGCTCCCTGCTCAGTGGGGAGCCTGCTTCTCCCTTTGTCTGCTGTGTGCGGCGTTTGCTCTCTCGCTCTCTCTCTGACAAATAAGTAAATAAATAAAATCTTTTATTAAAAGATTTTATATATTTATTTGAGAGAGAGCGAGAGAGCAAGCATGAGCAGGGAAGAGGCAAAGGGAGGGGAAAGGGAGAAGCAGGCTCCCCACTGAGCAGGGAACCCGACAAGGGGCTTGATCCCAGGACCCTGGGATCATGACCTGAGCTGAAGACATATGGGTAACCAACTGAGCCATACAGGAGCCCCACATAAATAAAATCTTTAAAAAAATAAAACAACTCCTAATAAATAATGCTGATTTGAAACTAATTTGGCTGAATTTTATATTTTAACAGACACTTTACATCATGGAACTGCTGTTTGCTCTATACTGTCCTTGTCTTCTCCTGGAAACTGATTACTATTTGCAGGGCTACTTTGGAATATGCAAATTCTTTTTCTTCTTCTTCTTCTTCTTTTTTTTTTTTCAAAGATTTTTTTTTATTTATTTGACACAGAGAGAGAGAGAGAGAGAGACTGCACAAGCAGGAAGATCAGCAGGCAGAGGGAGAAGCAAGCTCCCCCTGAGCAGGCAGCCCAATGTGGGGATCAATTCCAGGACCCTGGAATCATGACCTGAGCTGAAAGCAGACGTTTAATTGGCTGAGCCACCCAGGCACCCCTCTTTTTTCTTTAATAATATGTCTTCAAGTTTATTGAGAGTACTTTTAGAAAACTAGGATAACACTAAAATAAAAAAACAAAATGAAATTTTACTGAACTTGAAGTCTTTCTTTTTTAATTTTAATTTCAGTATAATTAACATATAGTGTTATATTATTTCCAGGTATAAAATATAGTGTTCAATAATTCTATATATTACTCAATGTGTGTACTCTTTTTTTTTTTTTTTTTTTTTTTAAACCTATTTAACCCATCCCTCCACCTGCCTCCTCTCTGGTAACCATCAGTTTGTTCTTTGTACTTAAGAGTATTTTTTGGTTTGTCTCTTTTTTCTTCGTTTGTTTCTTAAATGCCACATATGAGTGAAATCATATGGCATTTGTCTTTCTCTGACTGACTTATTTCATTTGGGATTCATTCTCTATATCCATCCATGTTGTTGCAAATGGCAAGATTTTGTTCTTTTTTATGGTTAACACCACATCTTCCTTATCAATTCATCTATGGATGGACACTTGGGTTTCTTTCATTTGGTTATTGTAGATAATGTTGCAATGAACATATGGGTGCATTTATCTTTTCAAGCTAGTGGGTTTGTTTTTTTTTAAGACTTTTATTTATTTATTTGACAGACAGAGATCACAAGTAGGCAGAGAGGCAGGCAGAGAGAGAGGAGGAAGCAGGCTCCCTGTGGAGCAGAGGGCCTGATGCGGCTTGATCCCAGGACCCTGGGATCATGACCTGAGCTGAAGGCAGAGGCTTTAACCCACTGAGCCACCCAGGCGCCCCTCAAGCTAGTGTTTTGATGTTCTTTGGGTAAATACTTAGTATAGGAATTACTGGATCATATAGTAGTTCTATTTCTAACTTTTGAGGAATCTCCATAATGTTTTCCTCAATGGCTATCCTAGTTTACATTCCCACCAACAGTACACATGGGTTTCTTTTTCTCCAGGATGTGCAAAGTTCTTATATTACCTCATTTCCCATAACCCCTCAACCTTTCCAACCCCTTGCCCCCACCTCTGAATTGACTGCCCAAGGTGGGCAAATAAGTACTTAGAGACCTTTTCTAGTCTTTTTCCAAACAGCAACAGAGAAAGTGAGTTTCTCTCTGGTGTCAGTGTGTGATAGTATGCAAAACTTGGGAAGTACCACGGAACAACCATCTCACCACAGAGAGAAAGCCAGTCTTTCTAAGAGAAGACAACCTTTAGAAAGGCAGTTTTCAGATTTCTAACAGGAGTTCCAGAGGCATTTGAGCTCCTAATACTGTTCTGGATGTCTGCTTAAATCCACAAGTGTGGTAATAAAGGGTTAACAAGTGGCTGTGTAAGGCTGGGGTTGGGGGTTGGGAGTGCTGAGCCCTGACTGAGCAGTGTTTGCTGACTTTCTAGGGGAAACAATCTTGCTGTGGTCAACCTTAAGCTACCAATGTGATATCACTGAGCATGGAACTGGGAAGACATACGCACAATCAGCTCCTGTGAGTCAACACAAGTGATTCCAGCAAACTACTGCCTCTATCCCTACTTCTCATGGTTTAGTATTTAATATTTAAGCTTTTCTTCAAATTCTTTGGGCCAAAACATTGCTCTTTTACCTGTTAGGCTATTTCTATTAAAATATATCTGAGACTTCTATAATGTGTTACAAGTATTTTGCCATGGGATGAAAAAAATCAACACATTATAGTTATAATTTTACTGTGAAATAAAAAATTGTGGTTGGTTCAGGGCAGTTTTAAATCTTGAATATAATTATTAGAATGTGAAAATTCTGACTAAAAGTCAGAAAAAAGTCTGTTAAAAATATAAGGAATGTAAGAGTATATTTATCATGATGAGCACTGAGTAATGTACAGAATTGTTGAATCACTATATGTACACCTGAAACTAATATAACACCGTTATATTAGTTAACAATGTTAACTATACTGGAATTAAAACAAAAGCCTAATAAAAAAGAAATATAAGGCTTGTAAATTTTAATCATGAATGTAACATTTCAATTAGTAAAGGGTAATAACCAATGAAAGCAGGAAAATTTAGTTTTGCTGATTATAATCTTTAAGCTTAAGGGAAAAAAATTTTTTTAAAGATTTTATTTATTTATTTGACAGACAGAGATCACAAGTAGGCAGAGAGGCAGGCAGAGAGAGAGAGGAGGAAGCAGGCTCCCCACTGAGCAGACAGCCCAATGTGGGGCTCGATCCCAGGACCCGGGGATCATGACCTGAGCTTAAGGCAGATGCTTAACCCACTGAGCCACTCAGGTGCCCCAAGTTTAAGGAAATTTAAAAAATTTATTTATTTTTTTTATTATTGAAACATACTTGATGTTATATTACTTTCAAGTGTATAACATAGTGATTCAACAATTCTACACACTACACAATGCTCCCCGCAATAAGGGTAGTCATCATACCAAGTTATCACAATATTATTGACTATATTCCCTATGCTATACTTTTCATCTCTGGGACTTACTTATTTTATAACTGGAAATGTCTACTTCTGAAGAAACTTTTTGGGAAGAAAGAAGCATACTAATACCTATACTTTTAATGTTCAATTTATTAAACATCTAACAAAGTATAGAAAATTATGTAAGGAGTGCCCACCATATATTGGAAACAAAATAGACAATGATCTCTGCCCTGGTGGACCTTGCGTTCTAAAGGGGGAAGGCAGTCATTAAACAATGAACATGACGAATAAGTAAGAAAAAACAGTATGCCAGGGAAGGATAAATGCTAAGAGAAAAAAGAAAAAAATCAGAGCACTGTAAGGAAAATGGGGGAAAAGAAGAGATGGCAGGGAGGCGGTAGCAATTTTAAATAGATTGGTTGTTAAGAAGTTGAAAAGCTTGAGAGAAGCAAGGGAGTTAGCCTCATGGCGATTCATGGCTATCTATGGAAAGTATTGACCAAGCAAAGGAAACAGAGAGGACTTAGGATGGAAGCATGCCTGGTGGTTTCCAGAAATAACAAGAAGCTCAGTATGTCTGGATTGGAATAAGCTAGGAGAGAAGTAGTAGGATATAAGGAAAGAAAGATAACAGAGAAGTCAGATCATGAGTTTGTAGGTCATTGGAAGTATTTTGGCTTCTTCTCTGACCAAATGAGAAGCCAATGAACAGTTTTGAGCAGAGACATCACATGACCTAACTTGTGTATTAAATCACTCTGTATATCCCTCTGAGTATGTCTGTTTCTGGCCTTAATGGAGTAACTGGTATTAGATTTGCCCTCTGCTGAGAAACTAGAAGAAATATATAAGACAACTGTTTTCAGAAATAAGTAGTGAAGCACTGTGATACCCGAGAGAAGGGTGATTCCTATGAACCCTCTACATTTCAGACTGGGTAAACTTTCTGGGCTGTGACACAGGGAGCAGGAACAGTAGTCTAAGTTGAGGAGACAGAGATTAGAGTTTGGAGAGGATGAAGAAACGTCAATTTTCAGAGCAGAGTATGGCACAGAAGAAAGCTATGCAAAGAAAGAGCTCCAGAAAATTACTTAGGGTCATCTTGAATCTGCCTGAATACCAGGCTGACATGGGAAGTGTTTGACTACAGGAGGCTGGGCAAAGAATAACTACTAGAAACTATCAACTGACCAGTTCCCAGCTTACTCAGGCCTGGAAAACATTGCAACTTTCAAGCAGCCAGAGTTAAGAGACGTTGTTGAACACCTGTTGTATTCAAGAGTCGCTTCTATGTAAAAGGGCTAACATAGCCCTAGAGTAAGAACTACTATACACTTACCCTGTCAAAGCTTAAAATAGCCTCAAAAGGATAAGCTGACCCACAGATAATGTATATGGCTGCTAAAATAAAAGGCATCACTTCTTTAATGGAAGACAAAAAAATCCAGAGATACAATAACAGAACATTCACAATGTCTACCATCCAATAAAAAAACTGCTAAACAGAAAGAGGAGGTGAGAGTGTCAATGACACAGATATCTGGGGGTAGGGCATTCCACACAGAGGCAACAGAATATGTAAAGGACCTGAGACTCCTGCTTCTGGCAAAGACGGATTGAATAACAGGGATTGGATTTACGCTCTT